TTTTTCCCTCTAATACAGAAAGGTTATATATACATGTAGAGACTCATGCATGCATAGAACTTCTAAACAGTTTATGAGAACTGATTATATAATGCACGATGAAATGAACAACTACTTTGAGGGAAAAGAGACACTATGGTACCCAGTGCTGATTCCGTAGTGTCATGATGTGAAATCCAGCATACTATTAGTCTTTGTTCAGAGTGATTTTAGTCTGTTTTGTTTTGTTTAATTTCAACATATGTGAAGGTATGGATAGCTATTTTGAAGAGAATGAGAGACATTATGACAGCCATTGTTGACTTCCCAATTGTCTGGTCTTGAAGAGCTAAAATGCCTTCATCATCCTGTTTGGATTAGTTTTTGTTTTGGTTTTTGGTTTTTGTTTTTTTTGGGTTTTTGGGGGGGGGGTTTGTATTTTTCTTTTTTATCGGTACAGAGGATTGAACTCACAACCACACACTTGCAAGGCAGGCACTTATGCTGCTGAGCTAAATCCCCAGCCCCATAGATTAGTTTTATACTTTGTTGTTTTGTATGAATTCATTATATGTGAAGATATGGACAACTATTGGGAGGAAAATAAGAGACAATATGATAGACAGTGAAGATCTCCGGTGATCTTGCTTTGAAATCTGTGTCTCTTACATTGCTTTCTTATGTTTTGTTTTGTTGTGTTTAATTTTACCTTCTTTAAAATAAAAAATTTTTAAAAGGCTTAATTCCAGTTAATTTTACAAGGCCAGAATATTATTCATATCAAAATTCGACAAGGATATAATAAGCAAAAATTTCATGTTAGTATCATTCATAATACAGAAGCAAAATCTGAAACAAAATGTTGGCAAACCAAATCTGGTGATGTAGCAAAAGGGCTACACACTAGGGTGAGTTTTTCCAGGGTATAAAATTGATGAAACAGTCAGAAAACAGTCCTCGGCACACAACATAGTAACTAAATAAAAATAAAAATTACATGAAAAGTCAAAAACACATTTTATAAAATTTAACATCAATTCATAATAAAACCAAAAAAAATTGGGAACATTACCTAAACTGATAAAGAGCATTTCTTAAGATCTTAAACATCACTGTAATGATAAAATGTTGAGAGCTTTTATTTCAGTATAATGACACAAAAATTGTGACTGCTACTCCTAGGCTGGCGATTTATATAGTGGCAAATAACTCTGGAGGGTGGAAGTATTGGGCTAGAGAAATAATGCTGGAGCAGCCGTGGCTCCCGAATTGCTCTGGAAATTCCAGCTTGCAAAACAAACAAGGCAGAAGACATAAAGTTACAATGTTAGCAATGGAAGAAATAAGACTTCTCTTAAATGCTGCAACTGTAGGAAACCCAAGGGTCTATAGTGCAAGTATTAAAGAAGTGAATTTACCAAGATTGCTAGGGGTAAGAACAATGTGCAGAAATAAATAGTGTTTCCACGTATCAGGGATAGACAGAACATAAAAATACAAAAATTGTGTCATGGTAGTATTGTCAGAAAACCTCAATTTCCCAAGAATAAATCTAACAGGACCAGAGTAAGACATCTAGACAAAAAATTATAAAACTCACTTGTAAGAAATTAAAATAAAATGGAGAAATATACTATAATTTAGAAGACTCCAAATCATAAAGATACTCATTTTTGCTAAATTTAATAGTGCAATCACAGTTAAAATTCAAACTATAATTTTTGTGAAAAGTGACATACAGACTCTAAAATTTGCATGGAAATTAAAAGGACTACAAAAAACAGAAAAGTAATCCTAAACATCTTAAGATAATTTGAAGGGGAAAAGGTCAACAGGGAAAAAGAAATTCAACCACACATCTAGACTGACCTTAAACCCAGTGAGATTGCAACCAATGTTTCGGAAGTCCTTTCATGAAAATGAACAAATTGATTACAAAACTGGCATTACCTAATGCTCCAATAATTAACCTGGGCAAAGTGGAGTCAGACAGTACTGAGTCGAAACATGCCCATATGTAAGCGGCAATGGCATCTATCATGGTTAATGTTGGTGGCTCCCAGGCTTCATTCATTTGCATATGCATTTGTGATTGGTTCATCCTCTAGTACTTGGATTGATGGTGTCACAGTGCTACACCCGCCTAGGGGTGGAGCCAGCGTACAATGTAATGGCAGGAAGAAGGTGTGTCTCTCTCCTGCTGGTTTCCACCTTGCTGTTTGCAGCCGCCATGAACTGCAGCCCTGCCATACCACCCTGCCTTGGAGCCAACTGAGTATGAACTGAAACCTCCAAAAACCGTAAGAAATAAACTTTTCCTTTCCCAGCTTTGGGCATCAGGTATTTTATCTCAGCAAGAGTAAAAAGTAACTAAGACAGCATTCAAGCCTCAAGAGCAAGTACAACAAGGTAGATACGGAAACTATAAATCAGCATGGGAGATGATTACATATGACCCTGTGTAGCACCACACAGTTAAAATCAGTGGAAAAAGAAACAACAAAGTATCTCAAAAGTAATATGGGAAAACAGGTTGCTTTGAGATAGGAAAAGATTCTGATACAACTCACACAAATCTCATCAGAAAGACAAAGTTAATAAATTAAACTATGTTAAAATTAGGAGCCATGAAGACTAATTATAAGAACAAAAAAGCAAAGACTAGCACAAACACTATGCAAAAAGCCGCCGTAAATCAACAAGAGACGGGAGAGCTCTCCGACTTTCCACAGGCCACAGGCACTGCACTACCCAGCTGGGTAAATAAACCACCAAAGCCACACACCCCTCTCTGCACATTTCCAGGTCGTCCACAACTGCCACCAAGCAGAACCAAGTCCCGGGAGTGGACTGCCTGGCCTGCACTGCCCAAACTATTTACTACTTGGATCTTCATGGAAAAGGATAGAGAACCTCTGGGTGAAACAAACAACCAGGCAAACAGACAAGAGACTTTCACAAGCACTGCATAGAGAATATTACACACACTCACTCACACACACACACTCATGTCCAATGGCCAGTACACAAACTTAAAAGAAGATCAACACTACCGCTCATCAGGGAGGTGTTCACTGAAACCAAAGTAAGACACAACTGCTTAGCACCCACTGGCCAAAACTAACATGACCAGGACTGGGGATGTGGTACGTAGTTCAGTGGTGGAGCACTTCCCCAGCATGCTCAAGGCCCAGGTGCAGACCCCAGCACACACACACAAACACACACACACACACACACACACACACACACACACACAAAGCTAATAATACCATATGGTGTCAGATACAGGAATCAAAATAACTCCCACACTACCAATGTAACTGTAAACAGACACACCAATTTGAAAAAGTTTGCCATTTTCTATTAATCTTGAGCATCTTGCTTGTTACCCAACCACTTCATTCTTATATAAAATTCCCCATAAAATTGCATGCATACGTGAATTAAAACGTATACCTTAACTTTATTTATAAAATCCCTTAATTGCAAACAACTCAAAAGTCTGATGATAATAATAATAATGAAATACTGCACAGCAATAGCTGTGGAGGAGCCAACTCACTCTCACTGGTGACTACTGACCCAGGGAAGCTACACATAAAATGCTGGGCACAGTGAGTCCAAATTAAATGGAGTCCAAACAGTACAACTCTAATCTGCAACAGTATACTTCAGTAGAGCAGTTGTCTTTGGGAATAATTTTGGCATAGTTGTCACAGGACAGTAGGGGTGAGGAGGGCCCCATAATTTATGTCTCAACCTTGATGAGAAAGGATAATTAATCTTCTAATTCAATTTTTGATAATCCACCAGGCATGTCCGCTTATGAGTCATGTATTTTTCATGTCTATGTTACTCATCAAGGAAAAGACTTTTTCAATCCATGCCAAATGCTGGAATCCAAGACACGGAAATATTTAAAATTTCCTACAAGTCAACAAGAAAAATGAAAGAAGGAATTACAGCTTAAGATGCAAGCGGGCGGTACAGAAGAGGGTTCGGGAAAGATAAGAAACTATCGTAAACGTGGCCAGTCTCACAGGTAACCTGGGGTCCGGGGCCCATTGGTACCTGTGAGAAACCCAAGCTTAGCAAATCTGCACAGCAGGACACACATATGGGGTGCTCATTTCCACACTCCTGTAACAGGAGAAATCAGCACCAACCTAAATGAATAGGAAATGGACTCAGCGAAGATCAACTAAGCAACAAGTGGACCCTTAGACAGGCTGCTAGAACTCACCAATCTTCCATGCAATGAGTTGGGTAAGAGAGAGAGAGGGGTGAAGGGAATACATACACAGAGAGACTAAAAATCACCTTCATTATGAAAAAAATAAAAAAATAAAAAAGAAGACACGACAGTTTGTCAGCACATAAAAAAACCTCTAAGGCAACTTCTGGGCAAACAAAACCTGCTCAAGGAAAGGGTAAGACATCTGGATGAATCCCATTACTGTTAAGAAACTGAGCCTACAGATGACAACCTTCCCATAAGCTCAGGACCCAGACAGGGCTGGATAGAGCTCCCAGGTGGGGCCGGGAAAGGGTTCTGTCCTGGGTGCTCAGGCTGTGGGAAGCACAGACCAGACCAGGGAGCAGGCAGGAAGACGCCAAGGGGAGGCTGCAATTGCATAAAGGAAGGGCTGGAAACTGCACCGCGAATCACACAGGGGCAGCACCAGGGACCCACAGAGGCGCCCGGGATTTCTGGGCAGTGACTTTGTATAATTTGTGATTATTGGACCATTTTGAGAATATGGCCACTGAAACAAGTTAATGTTAGAGAAGGGGAGAAGAGCCTGAAAAAGGTAACTGGAGAGGGGTACAGTTGGTGATCACGAAGCTTCAAATAACCCGTAATCAGTAGGTGATATTCGTAATGGCTACACTGATAAATATCAGACACAGAATCTCTTCAACAAATCTCCCCCCAGAAATCCAATGTAACCTAGAAAAAAAAAAAGTGAAATTTTGAAGAGGAAAAACTACCAACAGAATTTTTTTTTTTCTTTTACCTTATACCACCTTATGGAATCCAAAAGGCAACTGTCTGGGAAGTACAGGTGACAGAGCAGCCTGCCCGAGCTCCCAGCGTGTAAGACTTGATTGAGCTCCTTTGATAACCACAGCGAGCTGTTTCTGGAGCTGGCACATGAGATGTTCTCTACCACAGTGAGGTTGACCAGTACTCTGCAGCAGCTCTTGGTGTTCCTGTTGGGAGGAGCAGTGTGAAAACCCACAGCCTCTTACACAATCAAAACACAAAGTCGTGCTGCTTCTCTTCAGATCTTTTCAAGTGACACTCATGGCCTAGTCATGGCAAGGCAACACACAGCCCAGAGGGCCTCCCTCAGGGAGAAACAGGCTGGGTATCTACAGGGGCAAAGTGGGCAGTACCTTAGCCTGGTGCTATGGTTGATACATTGTGCCAACTTGAGAAGTTTAAAGGTTTGACTGAGAGACTCTGCAGGACCCTTACTTTGTAAATACCCCTCAGCTTGTGCAGGAGGAGAGGGCACAGAGGTTTTGTGAGTGCTACAGGGGAAGAGGCTTGTTCCCTGCTTTTGCTGCTGCCTTGAAGTGCTGCCCCAGTACCAGGCCACTCTGCCTTGCAGCCAGATGATTATGGAATGAAACTTCTACAAACAGTGAGCTAAATAAACCTTTCGTTCCTTCATTTTGGATGTCGGGTGTTTTGTCTCAGCAACAAGAGAAAAGTAATCAAGATACCAGGAGATGGAAAGGAAAGTGGCCAGCTTGAGAGAACCAAATACAGTACATGATCTATACTGGGAAGGGAAGAGTTGCTTGGGTCATTGAGAGAACCACTCATACAACTCAAATACAAACTACAGATGAAAGCGTTGTCTGGGGGCTGAATTTCCTAGATTTGATTACTGCACTGCAATCAGGTAGGAGAATATTCTCGTTGAAGTATATATTGAATTCTTAAGCAATAAAATGGGTACGATGTGTACAACTGAAATGGTTTCAGATTAAAAAAATACAGAGAAGTACATATATGGGGACAGAATATTATAAGGAAAATGGAAAATTTTTACTTTAAAATGAAAATCTAGGTGAAAGATAAATAGAAGCTTGCTATGTTATTTCTCAAATTTTAAATCTGAAATTATCTTCAAGTGGAGTTGTACACTTCATTAAATCTACATCATATCTTGAAGATTAAAGATCTGGGAGGATCCATGCTCATTTACTTCCTTGCCAGACAGTACCTTGGCCTAATGCTGTGAAATTTCTCTTCATTTCAGAGTACCCAGGTTGAGATATTTTAAACCCATCTCTGACTGGCAAATGGAGATCACATATGATCCCTGATTACAGCTAATAATTCACAAGTTCACCAGTGGTAGTGAACTCATGGCACGTGTGCCACAGAGGGCTGTTTGCTAGCATTGAAAGCTGCAAAAGGTTCGCCATTACCAGCCTAACCTGTATCAGGAGCATGGAGGCTCTGTACTGGCCCACTACTAAGGGGCTGCCTGCTCTCCACTGCTGCCCACTCAGGCAGGCATCTGCGCACCAAGTCTGCCGGGTGGATGAAAGCCATGTGCAGGTGGGACGTGGGCCCCTCTGGGACACAGAAAGGGGCTTTCTGGGCCCAAAAAGGGAGAGACAGAAGGGAATAGGTACTTCACCGAGGAGCTCAGTGTGTTTCTACTTCACCTACACGGAGCCAGGATTGCTTCCGAGTCACATATAAGGTCAAGCCTCACAGAGGTCCATGCTTTGCTGAGGTCATGCAAGTTAGTTTGGCAGAATCACAGATTGTGACCCTTGGGCCAAACTGAGTCCGTGGATGCATTTTATCTGGGTCTCACAGTTTTACAAGTTGAGCAGTCACATACACACGTGAGCACACACACGCAAATTCAAGCCTGTCACGACACTTGCTTTCCAGCTGAGCACGGTCACCTCCTGGCTGGGCTGGCCCCCACCAACATTACTCCTCATACCCAAAAACGGGCAGCAACTAGGCTTAGCGGCCGGGTACAGGGTGACACCACCTCCTAGCACCGCACCTGGCACAGGATGAAGGCTCCAACAGGCTTACAGGAAGCAGTTTCCTTATGAAAGAGTCCCCGAGACGCCTGACCTTATCGCCTGTCACTAGCACTTGCCCTGACAAGAAAGACGTGGCTGGTACGAAGTATCCACACGCTGCATCAGATGGTCTGTCCTGAAGCAAAATTTCAATCAGAAAAGGTGTGTTTTGCACCCCGATAAGGGCTTACAGATCTATTTAAAGCTGATGTAAATCTATAACCTGTGTAAGGCTCCGTAGAAATCCTTTCATCCCAGTTATAAACCTATGCCATACAATCTCACTGCCACTTCCAGGTTCATTGCAAATGCACTTCAGGGACAGATAGACAGACACAGACAGACAGACGGTTTCGGTCTGCTGTAGACAAAGAACTTACTTTACCACGCACTGGTACAGCCCTGCGTCCCCGGCGCGCACAGGGAGAATCAGCAGCCAGGTGCGCTCCTGGTGAATCCTCCGCGCCACGTCCCGGGACAGCGGGGCGTCGCTGGGCACTGTGTACCAGGTCACAGTCACGTCCCCATGTGTCAGGGAGGCATAGGAGCAGTTAAAAGCAAAGGGCTGGCCAGCCGCGACGACCTCCTGGTTTGTTCTGAGGATACCCTCGCATGCACCTAAGCACACACGGACGGAACCAACAGGGTGAGCCAGGAAAGGAAACGCCAGCCTCGGGTAGCAAGAGTTAACAAACTCCGCTCCGATTTTCTAGCAGATTATAATTTTACCCGGGAGTCTCCCTAGGCTGGGAAATAACACAGAATTCCATGTTATTGGGATGGAATTCTGCAGATCCACAGCACAGAGCGCCCCAGGACTCCCTCTCACGCCCCCAGCACCGGGGACTCCCCTCTTGCGATTCCAGTCTTTTTTCTCATGGGTGCAGAGCAGCAGTCCGCGGTGCTTACCCGTCGTGACTGTGCATGCGCACATCACGTTAATGCCCCTCCCCACCTCTTCTCTTTATCCTATCTCGCTTGCAAAAGACCTGGCTCCTTGTTTCCTGTTATTTATCTCTCATTTTACGCTCTAGTTTATTTATTTTTTTAATTTCTCATAGAAAAGGAACCATGCAACACTGAAGCTTATGGGTCTCATTTATGTCACTTAACATTACGGTTTCCAGGTGCATCCATTTCCCACAAGTGACTCAAGTTTATCACTCTTCATGGCTAAGTAGTGCTCCACGGTGTATAGATACCACCTTTTATTTACCCGTCCATCTGCTGATGGGCATAGGGGCTGCTTCCAAGACTGGACTATTATGGATTGTGTTGAAATTGTCCCCTCCCCCTCCCCTTACGTCCCTCCTCCCTTTCCCCTCCCCCTCCCGAAGCAGCACTCCTAGTCCTTTTCCCTTGCTGCTCAGCCACCTGTTTCTCTCCTTAGTGAAAGGGCATCTCATTCCCAACTGGACTGTTTTGAATATCTGCTCCGTCCTACTACGTTGCTCCGTTTTTTTTTAGAACTGGGTTTTATGGGTGCTTTCTTCCTGCTCCCGCCTGATCCTTACACAACCCCGAAGCACAGGGAGCAATGGCCCCTGCAATCAGAGCCTGGCCTGGCCTGTGCCCTGGCTTCTCCCGCTCAAAGCCCTGGGGGACGTGGCGCCGAGTAGGACGCAGCTGGCTCTGCAGCCATCAGGGAGGGCCGGGACCTGCGTGCAGTGCCTGCCATACCTGTGCCAGCTGAGGCCGGGACCGCGGGCCGGAGCGCCAGGAACAGCGCGCAGAGCAGCCAAGCAGGCGTCCGCATCGCGGGCTGCGGGAGAGAGGGGCGCCGCAGCTCAGGGCTCCTACAGGGGCCGGACCGCGCCTTCCACGCGGGGAGCCCCCGCCTCGACCTGCGGCTCCCACTCTCGGTGGAGAGGATGGGGTGCCGCCCCCCACCACCTCCGCACCCGCGAACCTGCGCGCCCCGCACCCCAGGCCGTGTGACCCGAGCCCCAATCCCGCTCACCCCGCAGACGCCGCCGACCCCCTCAACCCCAAGGATCCGAGGCTCGGGCAGGGACCCGCTCGGCTGGGCTTGTCCCGGCAGGGACTTTCCGCGCCGCCGTGGGCGCGGGCGTGGGGCCGCGTGGGGCCGGGCTCGTGGCGGGAAGAACCGGTTCAAGGCTCCTGATCCAGCTTCCGGCCGCTCAGCAGCTCCGCATCCCCAGGAACGCGCGCTGAAGTCCTCCAGATCGAATCCTTCTCCCCTTTCGGAACCCGCGGCGCGGTTACTTCCTGTCCTGCCTGGCCAGGTGGGAAGTCCCGCAGTGGAAGCCTGGGCGCAGCGCTGGCACCGGGCGGTCACGTCCTGGGCCTCTGTCAGGCGGGAGACTCTTAGTGCGCCCGGAGACCCTGTCCCTAGAACTTGTCATAGGACCACAGCCAGGGACCTGCTGGTCTGGCCACCGGGACTCCAAATGAGCTTAGGGAGGCTGGCCTCGCCCTGGTGGTCTGCCCTGGTGGTCTTCCCGGGTGGGTGGAGACAGTGACATCAAAGCCACCAAGGGGCAGGGCGGTGGCCTTACCAGCCAGGCTTTCCAGGACGGGCCCAGGTAGCGAAAGCCTCATACAGCTCATGTGAGGCGTCTATATGAAGTGCGCCTGTCCACTACCATGCTGGAGAATTTTTTATCATTTGTTTTCTGATTTATTTTAAAGAATCACAACAATCCCTTTACACGTTCACATAGGTATCATACATTCTACCAAAAGTGACTAACACTTTCTGAAATAGACTCGCTGGGAAAAGCAGCCGTGACCGACACTTTGGCAAACCTCCTGGATGCCTGGCTCAGGAACAGATTAAGGGGATTCTCAGAACTGCTTAGGCAGTCAGTCTCTTAGGATATATAATGGTCACATCCTCCCTGGCCAAAGCCACCACACTGCAGAGGGAGGCAAAAGATCAAATAAGGGCTTAACGGGGTTATGGAAGGTTCTGGTTTTGCAGGTGTCTTTGAAGGGTGTCTCGGGATCCTGCGGGCTCGCACCCCTGAGGACCTCCTGGTTCAACTGTAAGTGGAGATCTATTATTTTCCCATAACATCAGCACTGAGTGAGGATTCTTTATACATAGGTATCCGCTGAGGTTTATGCCCCCATTCCCAATGAAAGCTTTACTACTAAAAATGTGAGTCATGTACAGAATTATTGCTATGAGCACTTTGAAGCTATTTCCTCCTTCCTTGTATTGCTTTGTTTTTTGAGACAGAGTCTCACTATGTAGCTCAGGTGGCCTCAAAGTCATGAGAATCCTCCTGCCTCAGCCTCCAGAGTGCTGAAATTTCAGGCCTGTGCCACCACACAGGACCTTTGAAGGATATTTCTTCATCTTTTTATTATGATACCCTTTTCCATTTTCCACTGATGAAAGTGTGCTTTTTGTTTTGTTTTTGTGCCTTAAGGAGTGATGTGTGGGTCAACAGTTGGAAGTGGTGCCCCAAAGTGGGTGACATTGAACCTGGCCATCCCAGGCCCTCCCTAAGTCCTCAGGCCCGAAACTGACTCCTGCAGTGGCTCTCTGACTCCTGCAGTTGTCCACTCCTGCAGCGAGGACAGTTATTCTGTCCACGCTGAATGTGTTTCTGATGGGTAGAAAATGAATCCTTTGATATTGAACCCAGAACCGATCTGGGGATTTAAAACTTTGAAATTAAAAGCATGTTGAGCAGGTCTTGCATGTTTCCTCAACCCCACCCCAAAAAAGTTACCCTGGGGGTACAGCACCATCCAGGGTAGGAGCACAGAGGAAGCCTGCATCCCGTCAGCATGCATTTCCTGAAGCATCAAACTAAACCCCGCTATAGTGTGGATGTTTTTGTGCGTGCTTATAACAAACTCGTTTAAAAAATAAAAAACATTTTTAGAACAATAGAAAGGGTCACATTTACTGCAGGCTTCCGGTGACCCTGAGGAATTCCAAGAACAAGTGAGCGCTGGTGGCCACAGAGGAAGGGAAGGAGAAATTCCGCTGAAACTGATTCACAGAGGTTGCCGGTGGGCGAGGAGTTCCGCTTTGCTTTGTGATGGTCACGCAGAACGGCTCTTTGGGCTGAAACTTCCTCAATTTTGTCACTTGTAAAAACGCTTTGTTGGGGCAGGAGAATCGCCACGTTCAGGAAGCCCTACTGGACCTCGTCACTGTCCAGAGGAGTCCACATTTGTATTGCCAGGGGAAAGCTATTGGAATTCCAATAAATTCAGTCCAGTCTACCACTTCCAGTGCAAACCACGGTGAGTATAAAGTCACTATGGCACGTTTGTATTTGGGGGGAGCCTAGAGGCCTAAATCCAATCAGGAGAGTGGCTAATCAGAACTAATACCTCCCCCTAGGGCCAGACCTGGGCTTTATTAATTTGTGAAGAGGGGACTGGCTTGGGGAAGAGTCACTGTGAGAAAGGCAGGAAGGACATGAGTGCTGTCTGCTGGGTTGGATGGAAGGCCTGAGGTCACCTCTGCAAGATGCAGAGAGAGGGATGCAGACAGAGTGATCTGCATGTCAGCATCTAGTGTTTCGGGGCCAGTGTTGATGTGTAATCCTCATGCCCAGATATATCACAGCCTCTTTCTCGACAATGAGGCTCACTGGGCCAAGCTCATACATAGGACTTGGGAGCTATGGGGGGCATCACTGATCTGTCCCATTCGCGTCAGCAGCTCTGCTACGTCCACTGGCATCACTCCACGCAACTGAGATGATAGAGAAACCCTGGCCAGCCCACACATATCCACACGTGCAGGTATGGCCAGGTTTCGCCAAAACAGAGACAACTGCCCTTCTTTCAAGGAGTGCCACCTGGTGGTCGCCACAGCCTCCAGTTCAAGGGTAGTTTGGGCTACGTAATGAGTTCCCACCTAGCCTGAACTGCACAGCGAGACCATCTCTAAAACAAAACAAAAAACCAGAAGCTTTATTTTTCCCTTTAAGAACTTTCTTTTGAAATATGCGTATTACTCAGCAATGGATAAGAACTACATAATTAAAAATGACTGTAAAGGATGTTTAAAAAACAAAACAGAGTTTCAGAAACAGAGTTCACCAGGTTTCCTGAATTCCTGACTCCCACCCCACAACTCCTGGCCCCCCAAAACTGAGAGCTCAGTGCACATGGGCGCTCACGTGTGTGCGTGTCTGTGTCCACTGAGTAACATAAGGCGCTCTGGCAGTGTGAGGTCATGAGTTCAATCCCCAGTACCAAAAGAAAGAAAAAAAAAAAGAATCTGGAGGTTGTGGGTTGAATGGTACCTTTTTCTTCTTCATGCATTTCAAAAATTTTTGCATTGTCAAACTCATGTTGTTTCTATAATACAAAAATGGATATTTTCCCTTTGTTCTTAAAAAGAACATCTACAACGCAATAATCAACTCGTAAGGGAATTGCTATACCAGCTGCTCACTGTCCTTCCTCGCTCACCTGTCCCTGGTTTCTAACCCCACACAAACAGTGCCCTGGCCACCGTGATTCTCTTGTAACAGGAAACATACCGCCCTAGTCAGTATACTTCAGTTTCTTAGTTGCTGTCTCAAAGAGACAGGAGCAACCGGAACTATCTCTCTCGCTGTGATGCCCCTCTGCAGGCTACCCTGCCCTGGACACAGCCAATTTTGAACTGAAACCTTTACAAACTGTGAGCCAAATAAACAGATAATAGCTCTTGTTCCAGTTCCAGTTGCTCCTGTCTCTTAGAACAGCTGATCACTGGGATGTTAGCTGGTCACTGTGATGCACACTGTATAAACCAATCCCCAGCTGACAAGCCATTCTGCTTCTGTACTTCCCGCTTGCTTATCCCATAGAAGCACTAGACCACCAGTGAGCAGGGCCTGATACTCTGGGAATGATCCTGATCAGTGTCATTGACATAAATAAATCTGCCCCCAAATCCTGGGTGCAGTTTCAGTGTTTCTGCTCGCCTTTTCACTCTAGGTCCGGGTCTCCCTAACCAGCAGCTGGTGACAGCTACCCCAGAGCTGCCCCAAAGGCTAAAGCCAAACACTTCAGCCAGGGATTTAAACCCTGTATCACATGAGTTTGCTTCTTGAATGACTTGTTCTTCACACTCTACCCTCTCTCTGCATTTACATTTTTCTTTCTTTGTAGTTTCCTCCGTGTGACCTCAGGTGCCTGGTGAGTGTTTCTGAAAGGATCTTAGGAAGTCTGAGCACAAGCGTGTGTCCTCTGTGCTCTGGAAACTGGAGCTGGAGACAATATTAGGAAGCATAGGGCTTCGGAAGAATCAGGCAGAATGGGGAGCAGCACTGAATGGCAAAGGCCTTGGGGGCAAAGGAGAAGCCACACTAAGGGAGGCGAGTGAGGCGCTAAAGGGAGAAGGCTGAGGAGGGAACCCGGTATGGTGGGCAGGGCAGAACGCTCTGCGCCTGAGTTTCTGCACTGTTACGCAGGCAGTTAGACATCAGTGGACCTGAGGAGTGCGTGTGCATGCGTGTGCGTGTGTGTGTGTGTGTGTGTGCAAAACAGTATGACTTCTGGGTAAATAAAGAAACAGAGATGTCAATGTGTAACACGCTCTTAGTCATTGGTTAGGGCTGGGACCCGAAGTGACCCCACAGAGCACATGGCCATCTAGATCCGAATCTCTGTATCTCTGCATCTGAGAAGTGTGCGCGTTTCAGATGCCCGTTTTTAAATATAGGCTGGGTCTTTAAATATGGGGGTCTTTTTTTTTTCCGTTCTTTATATGTTCTGGATGTTGGTCCTCGGTCTGATGGACAAGGCTAAGATTTTTTCCACTATTTGGGATGTCTTTTCACTCTGTTGGTGATTTCTCTTGTGGTGCAAAAGTTTTAAATAAGATGACATCCCAGTTATTGATTCCTTGTATTATTTCCTGTGCAAATGGGATTTTGTTCATGAAATCTTTGCTTATACCTGTGTCTTCAAGAGTTCTATTCTCTCTTTCAGCAGATTTAGTGTTTCTATTGTGATATTGAGGTCTTTGATCTATTTTAATTTTACTTTAGTGCAAACAAATGGTAAATACATGAAAAAAAATGTTCATCATCACTGGCCATTTGAGAGATACAAATTAAAACAACAATGAGATTCCACTTCACCCTAGAAAGAAATCAACCAATAACAAATTCTGGCAGGGCCATGTGGGGAATGGAGCCCTTCTTCACTGTTGGTAGGAATGCAGACTGGTGCAGCCACTGTGAAAATCAGTGTGGCGATTCCTCAAAAAACTAGGACTGGAGGTGCCCAGCTATTCCCCTTCTGAGTATTTTACTGGAAGAATTAGAAATGTCATACCACAGTGATATGTGTGCTCCCATGTGTATAGCAGCACAGTTTGTAATAGCTAAACCTTGGAAACAACCTAAATACCCATCAACCAAGAAATGGAAAAAAAAGAAGTGGGGTATTTTTATATATAACAGAATTCTACTCTGCCATTAAAGGCATTTCTACATAGATGGATGCAACTTGAGACCATACTCTTGAGTGAAATAAATCAGACTCACATGTAAGTATCACATTGTCTCTGGTGTGAGAAACTAAAAGCATAAATTAAAAATGTACAATCAATATTGTGAAATAGGAACAAATTGCTCAAAGGGAAAAGGAAACTAAGGTGAGGGAAGGGGAAAAGAAAAAGCATAAAATGGAGACAAAGCTTTGTAAACAGGGAGGGGAAGATGGGTTGAGGGGAGGAGAGGAGATTCGGAAAAAAAGAGGAATGAAAATATTTCACGTAGAGGGCACACTACCCTCGATATCAGGGAAGAAAAGTTCCGTTGAAGTCACTCCTGCCTTGGGTTGGGCCTGGTTTATATCAAGAACTTACCTTTGCAAGTGCTTTTTGTTTTGTTTTGTTTTTACATGATTAAAGCTCCTGAGGAAACACTACATTCTAAAAAGCACAGGAAAATATTTTACAATTCCAAAGTAACTTCTAAGAAAAATGTTTGTCACCACCATCATGATCCTAGTTCTCTGAACCCCAGGAATAACTAACTTTCGAGGTGCATAAAAGGCGACTTGGTGTACATGCCTTCATGGGACTGCCCACCTTCTCAGTGGAACCTGTAACTCTCTTTTATTCATGTAACAAGAAATTCTGCCTATACGTGTACGTAGTTACCTGTGTGTCTTGACTGAATTTTTTCATCAAGGATACCGAGAACACAGGATCAAGGAAGTAAAGGGCCCATCTGTTACTGGAGCAGGACCAGGTTTTTGGGTGACAGCATGGCCTGTGAAAAGTGCAGTATCCTGTCACTAAAACCTGAGTGATCTCACTCCCAGGTCATGTTAAATAAAACAAAAACCAAGGAACCCTGTGGCATGCTTATCAGTGATGCCCTTCCCATCCGGAAGTAAAACCAAATGATTCTTGGAATCATTTCCAGGTCAAAGAATCTATGACATACAAGCTTCTTGGATTGAGTTTATGAGTAAATTAATGTCACACCTCGCTGAGGACAGCCCTGAAAGGCAAGGGAATCCTGCCCGTCTGGATTCAAGCAGGCTCAACTGGTCCAACAGCTGCAGATTCGGGAGACAGCTGTGCCAATGTCTGGGGTTCAGGTTGAAAGTGAACAGGTAGGTTTTGCAGCTTTCCTCAGAGAAACTTTGACTACTGTGAGGTGAGATAAGCATGTTTGTGTTGGGAAAGATAATTTTAAAGACTATCATTGGTTTCCTGCAGTGTTTTCCCCTCTCTCTCTCTCTCTCTCTCTCTCTCTCTCTCTCTCTCTCTCTCTGCAGGCTTTTATACTTTGTTTATGAAACAGCCTCACTATACCCTCAGGCCCCTCTGACCTGTCTTCTCATGTCCTTTGTTTCACATGCATTGTTTCCTTCCGGTTCTGTGAATTCCTGCCCCTGCAGTGACTCGCATCTCTGTGCTTCCTTTCAGCAACAGGGAAAGAACTTTTCATTCCATCGGAACTCAAGTGGCAAAATTAAGAAAAAATATATCGAGAGAGGTTCTTTCCAGTACTGGACAGAGGCTTCCTACCTAAACACCTTCGGGAAAGTCCTGTTTACAGACGGCACAACTAGCATCATAGCAAACAAAATGAGGCTTTGAGTTTCAAAACTGGGGCAGCCTTCAAATCTTTTTTAGCGGACAGGATTCCTGTGGAGAAATCATTCCAGAGACCTTCCCACCCAGGCAAAGCTGTTTTGCATTTATTCTTGGAAACGTATCTGATACAAGAGAGTAAAACATACTTTTGGATGGCAGCCAGGACTGATTCTTCTAACAATTTGCTAAAAGCCACATTGACTGGTAAAGGAAGGAAACGTGGTGAAGGACTCCCGGAATTCTTTTGATGAGACATTCTACCTAGGCAAGTTTTTTAGATAGCTAATTCTTACATTGTCATAGATTCTTTTTAACTTTTACTAAATGGTTATGGAGCCATTGCTCAGGAATATACTGATCCAATTTCGTCTTTGTGGACCTCCCTTCACCTCAGGGCTGCAGAGGGGCTGAGGGTCATGCAGTGCCCAGGCCTCTGCTTTGCACATCTGGATGGCCTATGCTTAGTCTTATTTTTCGGGTCTCCTGGGGTCCCCCCACATCCTTGTTTATCTCTCCTCTAGCCACTCTATTGGCATATTCTAATACCACTCAAGAGAACCAAGTTTATTAAGGACAGTTATGAACAAAGCTTTTATTTATTTATTTATTTATTTATTTTTTATTTGCAATACTAGGAACTGAACCCAGGGCCTTTACAATAAGCCTCATCCATATAAATTAATTTGAGTTGCCCAGGCTAGGCTAGAACTCGTGATTCTCCTGCCTCAGTTTCCCAGTGTGCTGAGACTACACGCTTACACTACCATTCCTGGGGTAAAGCCGTTTTTGTGAGGCTGGTCTCTAGGCTAGGCCTGTGGTAGCAGATGTAGTTTTTCAATCATTGCACAACTCCATAGGTTAAGTAATATCCCCAGTAAGGAAACTCGGCTCAGAGCATCAGTGGTTTCCCACCTCGAGGGAGGAGGCAGCAGCCCCACGGCTGTGTGCAGCGCGCTAAGCTCACTGATGCCTCCCCTAGGCCGGTGCCAGTGCAGCTGGAGCAACCTGAATTTGCAAATACTCTGATTGGTGGAATTCATCAGTTTTAGCTTCGAGCACTCTGATTGGTGGAGCTTACCAGCTTTAGCTGCGAGTGTGCTGACTGGTGGAATTTATCAATTTTACCTGTGAGAGCTCTGATTGGCAGAGCCCGGTAGTTTTAGCTATGAGTGCTCTGATTGGTGGAATTCACCAGTTTTAGCTGCTAGCGCTGTGATTGGTGGAGCTCACCAGCTCTAGCAGATGTATTGTGGACACAGTGTGCCAGTTTTGTACAACTCATGGTTGACATGAAAAGATACACAGAAGCGTTGAATACACAAGGACCATTGCCTTTGTCATGGGGTAGGGGTAAAAGGTCAGTAAGAGTGAGATGCAGCATAATCTCCGCTAGAAGCACGAGAGCAAAATACGGACGGGGTCACGCTGCTCTGTGGAAGCCAGGGTGCAGTCGGGCCAGCAATCCCCAAACTCTGCCCTTTGCCCCTGTCCCCACCCCCAGGAGCGGTCCACACCCACACCCTGCACCCAGCCCAGGTGTGGGAAGGACAGGCGGTATTCCCAGCAGTGTTTGACACGAGGTGTCACAGCTTTATTGGAAAACCAGTACAGGCCACTGATGAAAACACACACTGTACGGTCATCCGGTGTCTTAAGATACAAAAATACTGGGCATCTGCAGCAGAATTATACAAACAAATGGGTTTATTTTTTGTTTTTTAAACCTTCGACATTAACCAGTAGAAACATAACTTATCAAAAATGACATTTCAAAAATGGCTCAATATTTTTTCTTGTCTTGCAAGTAAAAAGAATTTTTTCTAAAAAAGGAGAGAGAAAATATAAGTTGTGCTAAACCAGCTTAGCAACTTAAATACTTCATTGCTTCTGCAAACTCCTCAGCAGCTCACAGACTGCCTTTTAAAATGCCATCGGAAAGTGCAATATGAAATCCAATTAATGGGAAAGCATGGGAGGGAGAGACTTTGGAAGACCGTTTGATTTGTGCGTTTACATTTAAGGGGTGAGGACGACTGGAAGGGAGTTCACAGGCTGGAAATGCAGCACCATTCTCAGGAGCCCCAAGACGGTGGCACTGAGCTTTCCGTTTGAGACCCCTCACCTGCGTCTGTCACCTGATGCTTGTTCTTCCTGAAACCCCAGATACACACTCCTGTCACTCTTGGTTGTCCCCACATCTCCTATTTCTTCACTAGTTCTAAGTTTCAGGATTAGCTTGAGCTCTGCACTGTGCAGGCCATCGTGTGCTCTGGAGGATCAACTGATTATCACAAGCAAAATCGAGCTTTTGGAGGTGCGGGGTTCTGACACTCCTGACCACACTTGACTTCGGGTGGCATCTATGTGCTGCCAGATGACCACAGGGCCTTTGTTCCAACGGTAGCTCAAAGCCGTCCTCTTCTTCAGAGCAGGGAGCCAAGACCAGGTGGAGAGGAGACTGTGAGGACTTTGGAGGAGAGGAGAAATTTCCTCCCAAATACCCATGTGTTCACCCATGGCACAAAATACTAAAAATATCAAAAACAAAAGGCCTGCCTCCTTCACATAACTTCCAGAATCAAGCGAGGGCCTCTGACTAGCACAGCGGACTGCACTCCAAGACTCTGCAGACTCTCCACTTACCCTCAGGACTGTCATCCATTTTCAACATGTAATTTAGTTCTGAACCCAACCCAAATTTGCTTTTAATTACACTTGACTAAGAAACAGTCATCTTTAGGGGAAGAATAAAATAAATGAAGGTGAAAAGGGTCTTCATAAAACCTAACCATAATTTTCATAAATACCAACACTGAAAAGTTTTGAATTTCTTTCTTCTGTGAAAACTCTCCAGGCTGCACTGCCTCCTGGGACTCCCACCTGTTCCCACTCAGCACCAAAGTGCGGGGAAGGAGCAGTGGTGACGGTGACGGGAGGTCAAGTATTCAGAGCACCAAGAAGGCAGAGAGGGAGATGCGGGCCCTTGGGCCAACAGCACTGAGTTGGTTTTTTGTTTGCTTGTTTTTGTTTTTTTAAACATAGGTCACTTTTTTATATAAAATTAGAATACTTACAAAAATTAAATACAATTATCAGAAGAGATTTCTAAACAATGAGGCACTATGGAAATCTGTCATATGTGCAAATTGTTGATGGAAGAAGTGAAAGAGAGAGGTACCCACGTGCCCTGCTCCAGCCAGAGCCACTGGCAAGTAGCAACAGAGTGGCAGGAGGGACGGGGCTCCAGAGGGAGGACCTCCAGGGTCCACAGCCCTGAGGCCAAGCACCCAACTTCGGGACTCCAGATCCGCCGGAGCACGTACAAGGGGAATTCTGTTCACACAGCAGCATGTGGGGCTCATGGACAAGTGGGGATAGGGTGGGGAGCTGGGGCAGGGTGACATGGGGACAGGTGGCACTGGCGAGGGAGAGCCTGCCCCTGGTCTTGAGCAGCAGGCATCACAGGGGTGTCAACCAGGGTGGGGGCGAGAGGGTGCAGCCTCCAGTGACAAAGGGAGGAAGCCCCTGCAGAGCTGACTCTGCAAAGAAACAAGCAGCCCAGGGAAATGAGGAGAAGGAGCAACTGACCAACGGGCTCTGGCTGGTCCCAGCAGGAGAAGAAGATGCGGTCAGGTTCAGCCACCGCCGCTTTCAGATCCTCTCTCCTCTGTGGAAAGCTGCCACCACCTTGGCACCCAGAGGATCCCTTCTCGCTGAAATGACAGCTGTTACCATAGTGCACACAATCTGGTCCTTGGAACCTGACTGCAGGCTGTGGGTGTGAGTGGAAAACACAAAGCACAGGAAGTTCTCCAAGAACATATCTCCTCCCTCCACGAGGCAGGAGTCGAATTTAACCCACAGCGTGGCCCAGAACAGCCCGGGGGGTCCGGGACCTGGCAGCATCCCCAGCGCTGTGCACAACTTCAGAAATCCGCTGGGAGGGCGGCCACGCCCTGCATGCTTTCCCTTCCAGTTTACAGTCCCTGTCTTGGACAAGGACAGGTCACTGGTCACCCATTAGGAGGGCCTACACCTCTGCTCCGAATCGCACCAGGCTGCTACTGTCACAGCCTCCTGTGCCCTCAACGATCTTTATGGAGCAGGGACTGGACAGGTCCAGGGCATGACCACGGAAGTCAGCCAGGGGTGCAGTCCATCCTGCAGCACCGTGAGACAAGAATCACCTGAAGAACCCCTGCCAGGCGTTTCTGGCTACCCAGGTGGCAAGTGAGCCTCGCTCTGCAGTGTCTTGGTGTAGTGCTGCCTGCTGGCCTGGGCCAATAACTGCTGTTGGGAGGCAGGTGACAGTGGCAGGGCAGGCATTTGGTACCTGATGTGCTTCCAGAACCTGGTCTTTGCAGACTGTGGTCCTTCTCTCAAGTCCCCTGACCAGCGGATGACCCCATGTTTCTGCTTAATAAATTTAATGGACTCTGGCATTTTCTCATAGTCTTGGATTTTGTCCAGCTCAACAAGCACCACCTTAATTCCCTCCTTAATGAGGGCACTGTACATCACGATCTGCTCTTCAGACGTGTGGCCCAGCCAGTTGAAACTCACTATGTCTCTCACCAAAATGATGATCAGTCTCCTGCTCTGCCGGATGGTTTCATTCATCACCTCGATCACATCTGGGGAACAGGAAGAGCAGACATTACAGTCAATGATCCATAATCATTCTTTCCACAGCCAAACCTCCCAAGTTCTTCCCACCCCATCCCTGAAACTTTTTTTCTGCCTCCCTTTGGACCTTACAGGACATTTGCACATTCTAGGCCAGCTGAACCACTGACCCACAAAAGCCAAATTCTGTATGGAACTCAGAAACCTTGCAGGGAAAAGTTTTAAAACTTCTTGTTGAACCAGCCAATCTGTAACACTTCCACTATTTCATACCAGCTGAAAAGTAGCTACGGAATCCAGTCGTTCAATTTGCAAAGCTAATAAAAATACATTTAATTACTGATCTAACGAGCTATAGGAGAAGGGAATTCTTTGCATTGAATGAGTGCTAAAATTGTCATCAGAATCACTGAAGAGAGCTATTGGGATGAGGACTACATAGAGCTCAGTCTGCTGGAAAGACTGACCCGAATTTAGCAGTGAATTTTACGTGAAGCCTGCCAGTGTTTTTCGCTGCATACATACCTTCCCCAGCACAGTCATCCCTCCCATAAATGAAGAGTTTATATCCAAACTGTTTCTCCAAGACCTCAGGCAAGATTTTAAACACGAAAATATCTGAGCTTGAGGTGGAGCCTTCTGCGAGGGTCCTCGGATACAGTACATAAGCATCATAGATCTTTCCATCAGAAGCTGAAGGGGAGATGTGATGGGTGATTAAAAGCCAGTATCACACACACTCATACTGAACTATTAATCCTTTCTGTACAACGGCATGATTGAAGGGACAATACTGTAATAATGTAATACCTTTTGAAAGGGTTCCTCTCTTACAAGTTTTCTATTGACCTTTTTCTACAAAGTTGCACTTGGTGGCCACCTCACATGCAATCATTAGGAAAGTACCCTTATCTTCCTGTTCTTATCTTCTTCACCTGAAGTCTCAGCACCTCAGTCCCGAATTCTACCCATTCATTCTGCTTTTGCAGTCCTGGGAATTAAGCCCAAGCCTGAGCTACCTCCCCAGCCCTTTTATCTATTTTTATTTTGAGACATGGGCTCCTAAGTCACCTAGGCTGGACTTGAACTAATAATCTCCCACTTCAGTCTCCCAGAATGCCAGGATTATAGCCAAGCACCACTACACCTGGCTTTTGCAAGGTTTTAACAGAAAAGAAAGGGAAAGACTCCCTGATTTATGACAGTCTAGTCTTGTGTCCCATGTGAAGTGGATTGTGGAGTTATCTACATTCTTCACAGCCCACAGCTAGTCCTCAGCAATGAGTTCTGAACATTTTAGATCCTACCAACACAGCTCTAATGAAGGACTGAGACAGTAGTGACAGTCTAGCCAGTTACGAAGCTATAATTATGTCTGATACCATAATTAGGTTAGCAATCACAACTGCTCCTGTGCATTTTAAACCTTCTATAAAAAAAAAAAAAACCTTTGTCGCCTTACATATGCTAACTACCCCCTCTCTAATGAAAAAATACTGTAAATAACACCAAATTATACCTTTTTGGGGAAGAAAATCATAGCAGGAATCTCTGTACCAGAGCACAATGTCAACCTTGAAGATTTTATAGATGAAAATTGAGCACGTAATTATAAATGTCAATGTGACAAATACTCCAATCACGTACTTCTGGAAATCAGGGACTAGACCAGAAAAGAGTAAGAAATATGAGAACTGTAAAAAATTAAAACTTTAAGCATAGTAAACTGAACATTTTCACTGCAGAAAAAGCATATCTGGGGTCAGCTTTGTATTTACCCTATTCATTCATTCATCATTATTACTAATAATGGGTGCTAATGTACAAAGCAATCTAGCATGGATAGTATATAAACTCATGTTTTATATAGTAAAACCTTCTGTTAAGTTTCCACCTAATCAATATAATATACAACAGCAGGGAAAATACTGCGAATCAGAGCCTTCTGTGGTTTAACAGTAAGTTGAAATCACTCAAAAGTCACAAACATCCCCTGAGCTGGGGGAGTCAGTTAGGACAACCCAAAACTCCAAATAAAGAAGTGGAGCCTAGGGAATCTTCTGCATTCTCCCCGCACATCTTTCTACTTTAGTCATCTAGGGGTTGGAGAAGAGGATGCATGAAGGAGAGGAGGCGGCAGAGGATCAAAAAGAGGAAGAAGAAGAAAGTCAGGACACAGGCGGGCATCCAGAAGCTTTGTCATTTCACTTTTTCCACTTAGATCTCTGATCCATCTGGAACTGATTTTGGCACAGAGCAGAAATGGGACACAGGCTAACACACAGCTGGCCTGGTGGACGAGCGTTTGCATTTAGTCTTTGTTATTGTAGCTCCACACACGATCAGGAGATCCATAGATGAACTGGCCAGGTTTGTTGTTCTATTCAAGACTACCTGGACTGGTCTTGGTCATCTACCTTTTCATGTCACTTTTACATGGGTGGACACAACTCCATAGATGTACAAACACACCTGCACTTCCCACATCCTGCTGCAGTGCTGAATGGATTGTTTTGAATCTTATTTGGGATAACTAACACCATTACAAAAGTCTTTCAGAATAGGAACATTGTACGTCCTTCTCGGAGGTATCTCAGTGACTTTTTACATTGTATTAGAGGATTTAAACAGCTTTTGCTAGATTTCTTTCTAAATTTTTTTATGGTTTTTAGTACTACTATAAATGTTATTGAAAAATTAAATTTCCATTTGTATGTAATTGGCTTTGAGACACACATAGAAATGACACCATAGCAAGGTCCTGGTGATCTTATTAAAGCCCTTTCTCAATCGTGATCATTCATCTCAAAGTTCTTTCAGATATTCTTCCAGGTCTGTATGAATAGTCTTTTTAAATTCAGCTACAATATTTTTAAAAATTTCAGCAATTTATGAAAAGCTTTCATAAGGCAGACAGGTAAGCTTTCCTTATGTAGTCATTTACTTAAAAATATTCACTGGAATCTATAGCACAAAGGGCGTAAGTTGCTATTAGCTCTGGAAAGAGAATAATTAGTAGGATAAAAGGTTGACAGCATTAAAAAACTTACAGTGAAAAAAGCTAAACATGTAAGAGATACCACGGTGGGTGTGATAAGGTGCTAGCTCAGCGCCTCAGAGAGCCCTAAGCTTATCTGGTTAGGCAGAGAGCTGGATTCAGGACAGGCGGCAGGACAGAGGAGCTGCCTAGGAGAGCAGATCCTTCACCCGAAAAGTGAAAGAGGATCAGAAGCCACCCAGGTTTGGGCTGGGGATGTAGCTCACTGGCACAGCACCTGCCTGGCAAGCGCAAGGTCCTGTGTTTGATTCCCATTACAAAAAAACAAAAAACAACTTCCCAGGTGAAGAGCAATCCAGGCAGAGGAAATGGGACTGGAAACCATAAAGTCTTGGAATTTTTTTTTATTATTTTTATTTATTTATTTATTTATTTATTTATTTTTGTCTTTTTTGTTTTTATCGGTACCTGGGATCAAACTCACAACTGCCTGCTTGCAAGGGAGGCACTTACACCGCTGAGTTAAATCCCCAGCCCCAAAGTCTTGGAATCTTACAGTAGCATCAACAGTTCTTGAGTGCTTCCTTTGGCAAGCAACTCAGTTCACAGACAGAAGCTTTCTGCAGAATTTTGCTTCCATTGGTGAATTTTGCTCTGGAGGAGGAATGCTAGCTAATGTTCCCAGGATCAAAATAAACAGGATGTGATCATTTTCCCCAGACTCGTGGAACAAATCAAGTTTGTCAGCCGAAGCACCATTGTATGCACAATGCACAATGCACAAACAACAACAAACATAAACTTCAAATAAATAGTGGGTTGTTTACCCGGATGTATAAACTTGATGTGTGCTGCCTCGTAACTGTATTCATTCTGGGCCACACAGGTGAATGGATGGAGATAAAACAGACTTTTGACTTCTGAAATATTAAGCATTACGATGATTATGTATTTGCCTTTGTCTGAAGGATGTTCAAATCTGTTTGGAAGAGAGAGAGAGAGAAATTCGGTAATTACATCAATTACGATGTTTACTTCTGGGTTACGTTTCTTCAGCTGTAAGGTGAACTACAGCTGGGATAATCCCCATGCCAGGGCCAAGTGAAAAGATCCCAGAGCTCACGTCAGTGAGAGACCCAGCAGTGAGGAAAACGAGTTGAAATCGTTGAAATCGGTGACCTAAAGGAAGAATGTGGACTGAGTCCGCCGGTCTCCACGGGCCACAGACAATCATTTGTATAAGAACAGTCGGTTGGGGTAGGCAAGATGGGAGAAGGAGGAACGGGAAGTGCTGTGTACAGGCTGGAAATATGGAGCTATTACGTGGCTCCAGTTTCTTTTTAAGAAAACCTGAGGATTGCTTCTTTGGAACGTTGCAACATGCATAACTGAATTTGAAAGTCTTCCTAGTGCCATGAAAGTTTTTAAATTAATTAAGTTTATTGGTGCATTTTGGGTATACATAATGGTCACATTCATCAGAGGGAATCTGTATGACTCTTTTTTTCCCATTTCCCTACCCTCCCTTCAACCCCTCCTTTTTCATAAAAGGTTTGCTTCCACTTTTTTCCTTCTTTTCTTTTTTCTTTTCCCTTCTTTTCTTTCCCCCTCCCCTTCCTTAGCCTCCATTTCCATTTGAAAATTTTTGTCCTATTTCACAATATCTATTAAACATTTTGGTCCTAATGTTTTACACTTTTGGTTTCTCACACCAGAGAAACTATGTGGTATTTACACAGAAAATAATATCTTTCACAATAACATCAGAAAAAGAAATACCTAAGAATCAATCTAATGAAGGAAGTAAAAAGACCTCTACATTGAAAACTGCAGTACTTTGAGAAATAGTGAAGAGGGTATCAGAAAAATGTCCCTTTTTCTTGAGTAGGAAGCATCAATATAGTGAAAATGGCCATATTCTCCAAACTACTACACAAGATTTATTATAATCCTGATCAAAATACCATTATCAAACCTCACAGATCTAGAGAAAACATTCCTAAAATTCATTTGGAACCAAGAGAGACCTAGACTAGCAAAGGCAATCCTGGGCAACAAAGGAAAGGCAGGAGCATCACAATCCCCGACTTGAAATTATACTACAAAGCTACTATGATTAAAAAAAAAAAAGTATAGTACTTGCCTTCCAAAAGGAAAAAAGACCTAAGGATCAGTGGAACAGATTGGAAGATGCAGAAACAACACCAAACACACTTAGCTACATTATCTTTGACAAAGGAGCCAAACATCTCCCTGGAAGAAAGATCACTGACTTTCCACATGCTGAAGATTAAAATTAAACCCGTATCTTTCACCACTCTCTAAATTAAAATCAAAATGGCTCAAATATCTAAATATTAAAACAGAAACACTAAACTGCTAGAAAAGAGAATACATAGAGCTTTAAAGATTCTGGTACAGCCAAAGAATTTAGAACAAAACCCCGATCACACAGAAACTGTCACAAAGATTCTACAGCTGGGATCTTGTCTTGTTAAAAAGCTTTTGCAAGAGAAAGCATCAACAGAATAAAGAGCCAACTCACAGTGCAGGAAAAAAAAATTTGTTAGCTATTTCTAAGACAAAGGATACTATCTAGTATATATAAAGAACTCAAAAGAATCAGACCTCCCAAGTTTAAAGACCCAATCTAAAAATAGGCATCTGAAGTGAATAGACACTTCTCAGATAAAGAAATAGAAATGGTCAATAAATATAGGAAAAAATGTTCAGTATCACTGATGCAAATTAAAACAACACCAAGATTCCATTTTGCTTCAGAAAAAAAAAATGGCCAAGATTAAGAAATCAACCAGTAACAAATGTTAGAAGGTTTATGGGAGAAAGGAAACCCTTCTCCTTTGCTGGTAGGAGTGCAGACTGGTGATGTCACTGTGGAAATCAGTGTGGAGATTTCTCAGAAAACTAAAACTAGAGATTAGAGTTGTTTTGTTTGTTTATTTGTTTGTTTCGGGGGGGGGTGCCTTCCAAAAAGAATTAAAAGCATCACACCACAGTGATATATGTACACCCATGCTTATAGTTTGTCATAGCTAAATCTTGGAAATAACCCAAATGCTCACCAACCAATGAATGGATAAAGATGTGGTTTTCACCAGTGGTATGGAATTTGTACCACAATAACACACATTTTTACCTTAAAGGTAAAGCTCCTGCCAACACTTTCCACAGAAACAACAAAGAACAGCTAAGGGTCAGGAATAGTCACCTGCCATCTCCCCTAACTACCAAGGTTGCAGGAAAGCCTGGCACACAGTTTAACACTGAAACCCATGGGCACACTCACATGTCATAGTCTTCTACCAGGATGGGGTCCTCATCACTGATGTATGACCCGTTCCACATCCAGGAGACGTAGTCAGTGAAACGGCCCGTAACGTTGCAGATCAGCTGGATACTGGATCCTGTGAAGCAGAGGATTTCTGAGCAAAGATTAACTGATTTTTATGCTGGCTTAGCTCTGTGACTAAATGGCTACTATGCAAAAGACTGGATATCACAATGTAGAAGGGAAGAGAAAACCTACCCTGAAACTCACCACCAAGAGGTCGCTTCTCCATCTCACTCCTTATCTTCTCTGCTCTCCAAATTTAACAATAAAAACCTGGCTCTCTTTTGACTACATAGGGTTTCCTAACATAGAGAAACTAATAATTCTCCTATCACCAGACACCGTTTATTTCTGATTTTCCACTATCAGAATTAATGTTCCCAAGCACATCCCTGATATTTACCAGAGTGCATTGTACATATCCTCAAGCATTACTGGGAGTAAAACCCTGGCAGTAGGACTGAATCAAAGGAGAGACAGTCTCTAAAAGCCGGACCTCTGTCACAGGAGGCTGTGTCAGTCTGCTTACACCAAATGAGTGTGTGGGCGCAGTTTTCCCAAAACCTCCCAGTCACCAGTGGTCCTGGTCAGTCACTGCCAAGTGAGAGAAGAAAAAATCTACTTCAGTTTTAAGCTGTATTTCTTTTATTTTTAAATTGAACTCACAGCCTTGAACAGCATAGGAGGCAAGTGGGCTCTACCACTGAGCTACACTCCTAGCCACTGCGTACCTGAACTCAAGGTAAAGCAACTGATTTCCACAAGCTTAGTGCGTCTGGCCTTTCATTTAACAGCTGCTCCTTCCGTGCACCCCCTATTTACTCCTGTTCCCACAGCGACCTCACGAATCTGAAGACACACTTTGCTCATCAAGGGCATTAACTATGATGTTCAGGAATGTTCCAGAGGCATTTCCAGGAGAGACGCTTTGATTTATTTTAGTTTATGAAAATTTTTGATGCAGATCTCTCCTCTTTTTCATTGCTTAAATTTTTTCCATTTTTTTGCCTTTATTTTATCTGTTTTCACTATATTTTTTTCTAAAAACCTTTTGTTAGGAGCGTTGTCTTTTAGATGAATAGTGTGTTCACTGTTTTGAAAGTTTTCATTCTTTTTCCAAACTGTACCTGGGTACGAATGGGAAAGCATTAACTTAATGTTCCTATCCAAATGCTTGACCATTTTAGAACTAATGGTTAGTAATTTTCTTCTCCTCACTAGTTTATAAGGCTGCCTGGATCCTAAAATGTATTCTCTTTTATTTTGAACTTTCTCTACTGATCTGAGTTTGTGTACCTATGCCAAGGATATCATCGGTACTTTTTTATTTTACTAAAGTTTTAGAGAAAATATCCATATCATTTTGAGCTCTTCTTACCAATTATTATTATGAATATTAAATATTATTTTAATGGATAACACCATTTAATTCTCCCAAAAAATTTCAATCTCTAATTTTAAGTTCATTCACATTTTTATTACAATCCTATTGAATCTAAGGATGAATTTTGTTCACAAATTCTAGCTATGGCTAGATTTTTTTGCCATAAGAGGCAAGAAAATCTAAGCACTGATCTTTGCCACTGTTCCTCTCTATTAGGTATATTCAGTAGGTGGCTTACATTATGTGTAGCAAAGGTCTTACTACTTATTAGTGAATTCTGAATAAGGTTTCATCCATGTATGACAGAACCCACTTACCCAGCTCCACTTCCACGGTCTCGTTCTTGGGGTCCACAATCACAGGCAGGTCGAGCTTGTTTTCCTCTGAAAGAAAATCACCCACAGATTCAGTGTCCTGCAGATCAGGATTGCAAGGATGAAGGCCCCTTGACAAAATACAGCCACTGGCTGCAGCCACACGGTCACTCCACTGCTACAGAAATCTAAAGCAGGAGCCAGTGCCAGAGGGGACAGGAGCAGCAGGGAGGCGACAGTGGACAGTGGACGCGAGGTGCAAAGCTGGACCCTTCGAGCCTGCAGGGTGTTACGCTACAACACACATTTGTGAGGGCACACACACATGCACATAGGTGCACCTCTAGGACCCCGCGTGAGATCAGGAAGGCGACTGGCTGCGGTAGAGCCAGTCAGGGCCAGGCGGGCCTGGATTCAGTAACACTGGACACAGTGACCCAACAGTGAAGCAGATAGGATCATGGGGAGATGCCAAGGGCACTGTGTCGGTTACTCAAACAGCCAGATTACCAACAGCTCCAGAAATTAATCTCTGTCTTCTTCACATTCGGGCCAAGAGGAAGCCGAAAGGAAGAAGCTAAATGTCTAGTCAAAAAATAAACAAACTATGAGGCCAGACTATTATGTTTTTCCTTTCCTGATCTATGCCTAGAACAGCTCCTGGCACACAACAGACACTCAATAGTTTTTTTAAAAAATATAGCACTTAAAATCTTTGAGGTGGGTTTGGGAAAAAACAAAATATTCTCTTATCTTTGAATATATTTGTTTCTAAAAATTGGAATCGAAAAAGGAGATAGAGTAGTCAAACTGTAATTGAACTACTTAGAAATATGCCGTGTCCAGTTGTCCCTGAAATTTTACCTCCTGGTCTGGGGGTTGAGTCTCAAGAGAGAGAAACCAGAGCTGGGAATATAGCTTAGTGGCAAAGTGCCTGCCTGGCAAGCATAAGGTCCTGAGTTCAATTTCTGGAACAAAAAAGTGGGGAGAAGGGGAGAGAAGCCAGAGCCCCACAGTAACAGGGCAGCTGCTGCAGACCCTAGAGTGATCCAGAGGTGACCAAAAGTTAGGGTCACTGGCGCTTGTAAGAGCAAGGCAGGGCATTAATGTTTATTCATTAAAATTAATAATTGAAAAATGAATTATCATAGCCCTGGGGAAATGTAACTCTATAGTGATCCTATTCTGGATTTTCCAGCGATAGTCCCAATTTAAACACGTTCTCTTGGCGTAATTATAGTAGATGCCCCTTCCACTTGCAAGCAAAGTCCTGGCCAGAGGAATTCACGTTCTTTAAAGCTGACCTTTACACAAATGTTGAATACTCTGCCCACCCTAGGCACTTTGTGGAGGTGCAGTTTGCTTCATTCAGTTATAAATACTTTTCAGTATGAAACATGGTTAATGCCAATATGAAAACCTCAGCAAAATGAAGACCCAGCACCTTCCAGTGACCCTAGAAATTCGCAGTGGGCACAGCTCTGCACCAAGCTGGCACCACACGCTGAGCTCTCCCTCCACTCTGATCTCCCCAGAGCCTGAGGTGGCCACAGCACTTTCTTAGAGAGGAGGAAAGAGCCACACAGAGCTGCAGGAACTGAGCTGAGGCAGCGCCAACAGGCGGTAGGACGTAGAGCGCAAAGTCAGCCCAAAGCCCATCAATCAGCATCTGGGTGTCTCAGTGCCCAGGAGCTCCCGCGGCACTCCTGCCTGCCAGCCAGAGGGGGCGCCAGAGTCCCGGGAACGACATTTTAAACCCAGGTCAAAGAACCAGCCTCCTGGATCAGTTCAAACGTAAAACTCAGTAACTCTCTGATTGGTGAGCACGGTGTGCAAAGCAAGAGTGAAACGCGTTTACATTCTGTGCAGCAACAACAAGCTAAACGAGGCCCAGAGTGGCTGCGGAGCTTCTCTCGGATCTGGTTCCTGCATGACCATGGGGTCACCAAGGCGTCACAGTCTCTGGGCCGCTCCAGACCTGCGCTCCTAGGGCAGAGCCAGGACTCACCGAAAGGGAGGAACGCTATCACCCGCCGGATGCGGTACACCTTCCCCAAGTACGAGTACGACGCGTGGCAAGTGTAGTTCCCCCCGTGCTCCTGGGCCACGTTCTTCACCAGGAGTATATTTCGCATTCCTACGAACTGGGTGCCGTCCAGAGGTAGAGGTTTGCAGTCCTGGAGGAGTGGGGAGAAGAGAAGCAGAGAAAATCAGCCAGTGACCTTCCCCAATCTACGATTAGCAAATCTGCATATTAAAATAGTGACGGGAAGGTTCTGTGAATAACATGGGGTCCATTTTATTTCAAGGAAAAGAAGAAGAGGAGGAGGAAGACTAAAACAAAACTTAAAAACACATCAATCAGTGTGCAATAGTGGTACACACATCACACATTATGGTCCCCAAATCATTCAACCAGAGCAAGACACCTCAATAGTATAACTATCTAAACCATATGTGTGTGTGTGTGTGTGTGTGTGTGTGTGTGTGTGTGTGTGTGTTCTTTCTTTCAGCTTCTCACACTAGTGAGACAATACGATGTTTACACGTCTGTCTTATTTTTTTAAAAAAAATTTTTTGGTACCAAGGATCAGACTCATGACCTCAAGCTTGCCAGGCAGGTGCTTATGCTGCCTGGCCCCTTAAAATAAGTTTTAGTCTTAAAATTTTTAGGGGCAGCAGGGGGACAAAAGTTAGTTTTATACTTGCAATACTGAATTTCCATTCCTTGGGCCCTGTGCTAGGAAGGGAAGCAAAGACAGGTTTCTTTTGCAAGAAGAGTATGCTTGAGGGAAAATAAATCCTGTAAACTAGTTTCTCATTAATGTTATATTTCTTTTTTTCAATGCTATTGTCTATTTTCTATTTTCTAACCTTTGAAAGATTATTCCCCATTTAAGTTCCAACCTAGAAAACTATTTGCTTGGAAAATTATACCATATTTAAAATAAAATTACCTTATACCACTCTACTGTGGGGTACTCGTTATGTTCATTTTTAAAGAAGTCCAGATAAGGGCACACAAGTCTGCCGTCTGTTGAGATGGGCAGTTTCTGTGTGAATAAAACCTCTGTGTTATAACACAAGTCAGGTTCATCCTCCAAGAAACGGGCAGTTATTTTAATTCTGAGGCAGGAAGTTGAATTTCTAAAACAAGGCAAAACAGGAAAATTAAGCATTATTGAGAGACTTTTCTGCCCTTTGTTGCTGCAGGCGTTCAGAACAAGTGTATAGAACATCTTCATTCCCTTCTTACCTTACAGAGCAATAATAAGGTCCCGAATCCCCAACTTTAGCCGGAACAAACCAAATGTTTTCTTTCTGCTGGTTGATCCTGCAGGTTTCATTCCTACAGACAGGTGTCTCGCCATCTTTCTCATACCAGGTCACAGGACCTATGTCGTCCTCTGAGTTAAGATTGCAGGTACCAACAGCAATTTCGTTCGCAGATGAAGTTAAAATCACTTCTTCTTCACGTTCAGCGCATTTATCTTTAAAGGGCAGAAAAGGGAAGTAATTTCTGTAAAACTTCTTAACATAACATCTACATGTAAATACATCCATGATTAAATATCAGTTAAATATATGTAAAAGCTTTACAGATGTGTTACACACAGCCACGTCTTGGAAGTCTGGAAAATCCACATTCAATCCCGGCTGTGGTGGTACTGTGAGAGATGCCCTTGGGCCTGTCTCTTCATCTCTTACCCTGTCTCTCTCCCTCTCTGTTCACACAAACATGGGACTGAGACAGGAGGACAGGCACCCACTTCCACAGAAGATGCACAGGAAGAACCAGATTTATCCTCTCATCCGAGCAGCTACAACAGTTATGAAACAACGTGGCCAAAGACACTGAACATGAAGAAACAAAGGACAGAGATCTCAGAAAGATGCCAATGAGTGTCCTCAATGATTATCCAAGTGCTGCCCGACTGTGACAGTGCTGTGGGCAAGCACTAAGCTGGGGACGTGACAGGTTAGCAGGGCAGAGTGCCCAGTGGTCTGCACATGAGAGGGCTGGCAGATACACAGTCTCCTTGGGTTTTCAGCTGAGTCCCAACCAATGGGGGAAAACTACCCAGCACTAATGTGGGGGCTGCAGGAGGATGAGGAGGAAAAGTATCCGGAACACACATAGTGCAGGGATCAGCAGCTGTTCCCAGCAGCTGAAGGGAAATCCTGACCCTGGGGCAGCAGGAAGAGGACCCAGGAAGCTTCTACCTCAGAGCCAGCCAACTGCAGCCTGAACGCGAACCTCTCCTGCTTTAAATTGTGGGCGCTGGGTATTTTGCCCTAATGATGAAGTGACTAAGACACGCAGTACCACAAAAAGGAAAACAAAGGAAAAAAGACATTTTCCCCCCAACATAAAAGGCTTGCAACAATCAAAAGAACATTTATTTTTGAAAAACAAAATCTGGTAAATCAAAGTAGAACAGCAGGGTAGGTGGTTTTCTAAATTCAACTATTCCCATGCCTCATACCCAGTCATGAAATCCACGAGCTTAACAACACAGGGGCTATTAAAACCAGCAGCCCTGCAAGGACCAATGAGGTTTGGGTCTCCTGACAAAGCTTCACTCCACAGCATGGACACTCTAGGACCTGACCAATAGCTGGTCAAGTGACTATCCCAGAACTGTATTACTGAGGCGACTCAGGGCTGCATAGGAAAAGTCCCCTCTGCAGGGACAAAGCCATAGCTCACGGCAGACCTGAAAACTCTTGTGCACTTCTGGGGGCTGCAGGGCTGGTCACACCCTCAGGACGGGCAGCAGAGCCACTGTCTCTTGCATCTAAATAACCCTGAGGTCCCACGCATGCGGGAAGTAGAGGCTGAGGCAGACATGTCCACGGCCTAAGTGCCAAAAGCACACCCCAGACGCTTGTAGCCTCACACCGAGAGGCAGGAAACCAAGGAACCAAAGGAAATCTCTGCAGGATCATGAGCTGACCATTGAATTACCTGGCAATGACTTCAGGGAGGGTAGAGTATAGATCAGCCCGGGAAAGACAGGACATAAATGAACAAAAGCAGCTGACCACAGCAATTTAAAAATCAAGAATAAACCAAGCTTGGGTGGATATAGACGGAAATGTGATTCCTAGAGTCAAATTTATTCCACCTAAAACATCCAGTTTTAACAAAATATTACAAAAACATAAAAAGAAATAGGAAAGTGTGGCCCACACATAGAGGAGGGAAAGCTGCCAATAGAAATGTTCTAAAGGAGTCCAAGTGTTACTAAAGACTTTAAAAGGCTATTTAAAATGTCCTACCTGCTGGTGGATGTGAGGATAGGTTTATGGAAAGGTCACCAACCTTAAAACAAGAACACAAAGCAGAAGCTCAGAGCCCTCCAGGGTGGTATGGAGTCTACCGACAGATAAAGATATAGAATGGGGGTCCCAGAAAAGTGTAGGATGTAGGGATACAGAGAGAGGATCAGTAAAAGTCTCTGAAGAAATCATGTCCAAATATTTCCCAACTCTGATGAAAACTTTAATCTACCATCCAAGAAGCTCGAAGAACTGCAGGTCAGATAAAAGGAATACAACTATCCGGCAGCAAATGAAGGTGCAGAAAGACAGAGCCCAAAACGGAGCAAGACCTAAGTGTCTCACACAGGGGTCTCCCAGAAGACTGACACTTGGTGCTCAGAGCCCACAGCGCCCAGGGGCGGGGTCACACCCTGACCACGCTGGAGGCGTGACAAAATTAGCCAAAGATAAGGAAGACGTAAAGATGCAGATAAACCAAAACTAAGATAATTCTTCATAAACAGACCACCTCTACCAAAAATAGACTGACCGAGGAGTCCTTTAAGTTGAAATGAAAGAATGTAAGGCAGGTATGGTGGCAAACCCTGGAATCCCAGAACTTGGGAGGCTGAGGCAGGAGGATCACTGTAAGTCTGAGGCCAACCTGGGCTGTGAAGTGCATGACAGGCCAGCCTGAACTCGTGAGAATCTGTCTGACAGAGCCCAGAAAGGGTGCGGAGAATAACAAACTAGACAACGACTCAAATCCCTCTGAAGAAATAAGTAACGTAAAAGTAAACAAGACTATGTAAGTAAACACATGCTAAAGTAAGTTGTTGCTTAAATCTTCTTTTTCAGATAGTTTCAGAAACTGCATAAAAATGACTGAGCGTCTGTAACAGGAATAATGGGCTTAAGTGTAAAAATATCAAAACTCCAGGAGGAAACAAGAAAATTTTTGTGGCCTGGCATCGGACAAAGAATGTTAGAAACACTGCCCAAAACATGATCCAGACAGGAAATGAAAAAGGACGTTAGACTTCATCACAATCAAAAGGCGTCTTTTTAAAAGATGCCTTATGAAAATGAAGAGCCAAATCTCAAACCGAAACAAAACATTTAAAAATCATAATGATGAAGATCTTGGATTCAAAAGATATAAACAATTCTAAAAAGTTAACAAAGCCACATGTGGTGGTATACGCCAGTACCCCCTGCACCCCGGAAGGCTGAGGCTGGGGGACTTCAAATTCAAACCCAACCTGGGCAACTAGCTGACATGGCAAGACCCTGTCTCAAAACAAACAAAAAAAGCACTGGGAATGTAGCTCACTGAGAAGGTCCTAGGTTCAATATTCAGTAGCATTTAAAACAAAAGAAAATCAAAGATAAAACTCAAGAGAATAAGAAATGATTTAAGAAAATGGGTAAAGACTTGGAAAATTTCACCATGGAAGATACATGGATGGCAAGTAACCACACGAAAAACCCTCAATTGCAATAACCAAATTAGAATGGAAACCATAAGTACGTACGCACACACCTGGTGGAAGGATTAAAGTGGAAACAGATCAATTCTAACAACTGGGGGCGAGGCTGAGGGGGACCGGCCCCCTCCGCTGCTGGTGGAGAGATCCAATGACACAATTTTAACAGCCTCTACTGTTCCTTCTGCATCCCCCAAACAACCAAACATCTCCAGCCCTGGTGTCTGCCCACAGGAAGGAAAGCGTCCATCTGTTCAAAGACTTGGCCACCCATAGTCACAGCTTTGATTTTATTGGATGCATTTGAGATGGTCAAGGTGTCTGTGACTGTGTCAATATGTATCAATACAACAGAATACTGCTGTGTAGGAAAACCATTAACTGACTGTATAGCAAGAAGCTAGGCCCCTCTTGTTCAGAAGAGTGCATACAGAAGCCGCCCCAAAGCAGAGCAGTGGCTGCCCAAGGACAAGGGGTGACACCAGTAGGAAGCGGGGATCTCAAGGGGGCTAAAGGAAGCCAGAGGGTGGTGAGCTGCGGGTGCTTTCCACTGTCACTGTGGGGACAGCTGTGGGAGGTCCGAGCCATGGACCTGCTCAAAACCATAGGTGCAGCAGGACAATCAGTGAAGAGGCTGGGGAGCACCGAGGAGAGCAGTGGATGCCGGCTGAGTCCCCAGGGAGACCCTGGGTGAGTCCTCCCTGACACCCTGGGTGAGTCCTCAGGGAAACCCCAGGTAAGTCCTCTGTGACACCCTGGGCAAGTCCTCCGTGAGATTTCCTCTCTGCAGGCCTGAGGTTGACCCAGGCCACCAAAAATGTGATCAAGGTCACCTAGTGTGTCCACTGGAAAAACAACTCTCAGACACCATCCTGGCTTGCACGTCTGTGTCTACCAGGTCCCCATGAGCGTTCAGCACCCCGACACCCTCCTCCAGCTGCCATCAGTACGTGCTCAGGTCTCCTCTTACATCACCTGGGCCTCAGTGGACACCTGAGCCCTGCCCTCACAGGGGACCCGGGCACAGTTCTTGGAGTTGGCATCTTCCCCACCAACACTCAGTGACTGTGGTCTGCCTTGGTTTCCCGCCAGCTGCTTCCTGATGTCACCCACCAGATGCGGTGTCACCACCTAGATAGCCATGGGGCAGCTGGACTGGACTTGTCCACTGTGGACCTCTGCCCTCCCCCCCCCCCACGCCATCAGCACCAATGTCACCTTGGGGCTGCAAAGGCAGAAGCCCTGGGAGTCACCTACCCCTCCCCCCGGCTCTCCCAGCCTGCCCACCTGCAAACCCCCACAGGCTCCAGGCTTGTGGTCCGCCCCTCACCTGACACCTTTTCACTTCCTTGCCACTTATGGACAGGCCATCATCATTTCCTGCCCAGAACCCACCACTGTTGCAACCCGCGTGCATCTTAACAAGGGCTCCGGAGCTGGCATCTGATGCTCCCGCGCCTTGCAAGGGCCTGTTCTCAAAGCAGGAACCTCAAGGCACCTATGTGTGGCAGTAGACGTCAGATCTCCTCTCTGGTTTTGAACAAAGAAACCCTGAAGCCTTCGCATCCAAGTCATGCTAGAAACCGAGCTCCTCAGAAAGTTCCACGAGGTCCCACACACCCCCGTCACCTCCACCAGTCACGCCAGCAGTTTAGTTCCTAGAATATCCCAGGCATGCCTGGCCTCAGGGCCTTTACACTTGCTCCCTATGATATTTCCTCCCTGCAATCTGGGACCTATATTTTTCCCTCCTGCTTCAGCGGGTACAGTTCACAAGTCAACTTTTCACTGAGGCCACATGATGAAAACTGCTATCTTCTGGGGGCTTCTGTCCCCAAACTGTATGCCTTGAATTCTAGTTGCTTTCCTCATTAAGCTCCTCACCACATGACAGAAAACCTCTTCCTTTGGGGAATGGATTCTCTCTCTCCCACAGGAATGTGAGTACCTGCAGGCGGAGTCCTCTGCCTGGTTACTGACTGCTGTGTCCCCCACAGCCAGTACCTGGCACAAGACCGCGGCACCCAAGACTTGCAGTAAGGGAAAGAGAAAGGTGGGGAAAAAATGAAGACAAGGAGAAAAACCAAACTGTGTCCTCGGATTCTTAGCTGTGGGTTCTCAGACTGCATAGGTGCTATTCACCGACACTAACGTGGGAAGAGCCTGGATTCGACCTCGAAGACCCAGACCTGAGCCCTCACTGCAAACTAGCAGACAACCCCAGGTCTGGACCGCTGCTGCATGGTTCTGTGCCCGGAAGCCCCGTTTCCTAGAGGTCAGCAGGGAGGTCAGCAGGGGACAGCATCAGCCCCGCCGGGACTGTTTCCTGCGCTCCGAGTCACAGCCTCTCTCAGCAGCTGCAGCGTTTAACTCACCAGCCTCCAGAGACACCAGCAGCACCATGCAATGCACAACCCCGAGCGACACTTTCATATTCTCCTAGGGAAATGCAGGGATGGAAAAAGATGAGAACATTAGCATGCCAGCCAAGCCGACAGCTGCACAGCCAACACCGCGGCTCTCCCAGCACCGTCCCCGGCTGCCCCAGTGGACCAGTCCTCCCACATAGTCCCTGACACCTGGCGGGGACTCTGCCCAGAAAATAGGGGGCAAAGGAGGAGTGTGATTTTCAACAGAAGTGAGAACAATTCAGTAACTCAACACTTTAACCATTTCCATCATCTGCCCCAATACATGTTTTTAGAGTCACATCCCAAGTTCCTCCAAATGCAGGCTACGACCAATGCAGACTGCTAAACACGCTTTTGGGGGGCTTTTTATACTTTTCCTGTTATCTATCTAGAAAAAACATGGATGAATCGTTTCATAAAGGAGACTACAACCAGCTTCCCCTGCACCTGGGTTCCATAACTGCAAATTCAACCCAACTGCAGACCTGAAGCATCAGAGAAAAATTAATTCTGCTGTGAACGCATGAAATTTTCTGTGGTTGTTATTCCCTAAATAACACAGTGAAATACCACGATGCCCATACTACATTACAGTAAGTATTATAGGAACCTAGAGATAATGTAAAGAAAATGGGAAGATTGTGCAAGCCGTGTGCAAACACTGCAGTGCTATACAAGGGACCCGAGCTCTGTGGATTGTGGCAAGTGTGGGGTCCTGGTAGATACCAAAGAGCAGCTGTATGTCCTGACCTAAACCAGTCAGTCTGCCTCTGCCTGTCAGGCCTGGCTTGCTGTCTGGAGCGCCCTCTGCTGGCCAGGAACCCCCGCAAAAATCTTGCCCTATTTCTACGTCTGCTCCAAGGTCACGCCTTCTTCTTACCATGCAAGACCCCAAACTGTTTGCACCATACAATACAATTACACAGAAAACCTCGGAAAGGGCCAAAAGAAATCTTAACAATAGAAATAAAGTGGAGTTGGCCCTGGTGGTTGGGTGGGTTCACCCTTTCCTGGGGCTTTTTATACTTTTCCAAACATCTGGAATCATGGATTTCTTCACAAAGGAAAAGTTCCGCCACCCCGTAAGAGGAAAACTCCCTGAGTGTTCCTGTTCCATGCTGCAGCCTCCAATCCCCACCCAGCTGCCGCACAAATCCGCTCAAGGTCAACGAGAACCTCAGACAGGATCCAAAACCCAAACTCATTCTCTGCCTGTGAAGGTGACAGTCTCTGCCGGTGCACCCCAACTTGGTGACAAACACAGCTCCACACCTGCAAGCAGGCCCCAAAGTGACCCGACTGAGGGTCCGGCAGCTGCCACCACCTGGTCACCTTTCTCTGAGCACTAACCCACCTGTGTTCTGGAGCTGCCACACCCACCAGCGCCTTCACAGCTGCTGTCACTGCTGCTGCCTCTGCACCCCAGCCACCTGCAGCACCTGCCCGGCTGCCTCGAGGGTTCAGAGTCCCGACCTTCTCTCTGTGCATGGATTTATAATCCAGGAGCCTTTGAACTGCATCACCAAATGACGGGAGGAAAGCGCCTCCTCTGCCCATGTGCCCAGGGGTGCTGGCTCCCTAGCAAAGCCTGTGGGTGTCCTCAGCACTCCCTGGCCTCTCCTTAGCCTCTGCCACCTCTGTTCTTCAAAGGCTCCACCCTGGCTGGCTCCCTCAGCTCCAGCAGGCACCTCCTACCTGCCCTGTCTCCCCAGGCCACCCCTGTGCCCCTCCCTGCACTCACAGCAGGGTAAGAAGCCTGGGGTGCATGGCCCGGAGCTGCTCATAGTCCCACAGCCACAGTGTCTGGTTCTGTGCTCAGAATCCAGAGGTGCTTAGTAAGGTCTCACAGAACAGATGGGGGGAAAAAAGAAAAAGAAAAAAGAGTTGTTTCCTAGTAGGAAAGAACTCATGTTCAGATCACAACTCTGTGCTCAGAAGATAGTTTGCCTTTGATTTTTACAAGACATTAAATTCACCTGTGTAAAGTTTGCACAGTTTCAGGTAAGGAGCTGTGCAGGGCACAGACTGTCATAACTAAGATAACCTCAGACATGTGGCCACTTCGCAGTTGGCTGGAAAATGCTCTAGTTTAAAAACTGTATTTAGGTATGAACATGCTACAAGGTGGTTTTATGATTTTTTTATTTTGTTTTGTTTGTGTTGTTGATGCCGGCACTTGAACTCAGGGCTGTGCTTACCAGGCAGGTGCTGAGCCACTGAACTATATTCTCTGCCCTACAAGGGGATTTTAAATAAACAATAAGGAAAAGCTTTTTGTTGTTGTTGTTGGGTTTTTGGCAGTACTAGGAGGGAAACCCAGGGCCCTCACACCAAGCTGTATCCCCAGCCCTGTTATTTTTTTATCTTGAGACAAGGTCTTCTTAAGTCACTAACTTGTCAGGCTGTGCTCAAGCTTTTGATTCTCCTGCCTCAGCCTCCCAAAAGATACTGTAAGCACTGGAGAGACCTCCAGTCCTATTCCTGTCACTTTCTGCCCAGCGTCAGGGTGAGGACCACTTAGCCCAGCCCAAGCTGGAGCTCTGCCTCAGACTTGACTCCCTTTACCCTCACACGTGGGTCTGGTCCGTGGCCGAGTCCCCAGCGGAACCAGAATGATAATTATCAGGGCATTTACTCTAAACATACGCAAACCGTGGGATGAGATAGAAGGTGTGGAATCCTCTGCCTGTCTGCAGGACAGGGAGGAGGGGAAGGAAGGGTTAAAATACTTCCTGATTTCCAGTTCCAGGCCACACCAGCGCTCTCTGCCAATCAACAGCAAGGTGGGTGGTGATGAAATCACAGGCTGCTGTCAGCCACCTAGCTCAAGACGGGGGGGGGAGGGGGGGGGGGGGGGGGGTTTGGCCTGCTCCAAGGGAGACCGGAGACTGGACAGGCCAGGGAGGCAGTGAGGGGCTGCTCCGGGGAGCAGAGAGCACCCCCGCCGGCCTGGACTAAGGAGAGAGGGTCAGGGCCCCTGGGCAGTGCCCTCTCCAACGGGACCACTCTCTAGCTCTCGCTTTCCCTCTCAGGTCACTGCCAGGAGTCCAGCCAGGTGTCCCTCCTGCCCCACCGCGGCCTGGACGGAAACCGGAGGTAGAACCTTTCTGGCTGTTTGGTTTTGTGCCTTATATATGTACAGATCTGCCTACATAATGATCATTCTCTGGCACATTCTGTACCAGAGAGAACATTCTCGGTTCTTTTTGCTGCCCATTTACTTCCCCGCCCCCATCTCTTGGCCTCTTTCCAATTTGCAAAAGCTATCTCTCCCGCTCCCCTGCTCCCCTGCTCCTTTCCTCCCCTCCCTCTTCCCCCTCTCCTGCTCCTCCCCTTTCTCCACCCCTTTCCCTCCGCCTCTCTAGCCCCCTTCCCCTCCCCCATTTCCTTTCTTGTTTTTTTCCTGCACCAGGAATCAAACTCAGGACCAAGCGGAGGCAGGCGCTGAGCCACACAGCCCCAGCGCTGGCCTGTCCCGTCTCCTTTTTCCAGCTCTTATTTTGCTCTTTGTTTATACTTTGCTTTTCCTCAGGTGAGAGAACATTAAAGTGCGGGTGAGAGAGCATTAAAGTGCGAGTCTAATTTATGTCTCTTAGGCTACAGTCTCAAGGTGTAAATGACTCCGGCTTACCCTCCATGGTCCAGGAGTGCCCCACGGGGTGTTAACACCACACTTTATTTATCTCCTTATCCACAGAGGGACCGAGAGGTGACCTTCGAGACTCAGCTGCTATGCAGTGCAGCCGCAGCCTTTCTGCACCAGTCTGTGTGTCAAGGGCTGACCACTGCCCTGAGTGGGAGAAGGGCGGGGAGGCCACAGCCCCTCGGGAAGGAGCACGGCAGAAAGTGCCAGGAGGAGGAGAACCGTCCTGAGGTTAACCCCAAAGGGCTTCCCACAAAGCCCAGTGTGATTCCTGTCAAGGCCTCCAATACCCCAAGGATCCGACGGGGAGCCAGCCTGTCCAGCCTGCACTGTGCCCAGAGCTGGAAGACCACCCATATCAGGAAAACCCCAACAACACCGGCCCATGGCTGAAAACGCAGCCCCTATGCCTCAGTTTCCCAAGTGATGAAGTGGGCATGACTGTGGCACTGTCTCTGACAGTTGCCACAGGAATGAGATACACACTGGGCACAGAACCCACAAGGTAGCTGTGGCAACCCAGGGCCTAGCATGAGGGACATCGGGACACAGGAGGACAGTCCAGCGAGGCAGTGCCCAAAGCATGGCTGGAGAGGCCCAGGCACAGAACCCAGGTGAGGGGTCAGGCAGTCGTCTGCAGGTGGCAGAAAACCGACTTCAGGGCTTCTCATCACGGATGGGCTGTGGCTGCTCACTCACTTCTAGAGGATACCATGGCACCTGTGGGCTGTAAACTGGGGACATGGACAGATGGGGTGCACAGGCTGGTCAGGAGGAGAGCTAGTTCCCCGAGGTGACCCAGGATGGGTAGAAGGGCCGAATCAGGGCCCCACAGGCCACCAGGAGACACTCAAAGGTGATTTCTATAGTCCCACCAGGCCAGGTCTCCCAGGAAGGGGCCAATAGAATCACCCCTGGCAGAAATCAGGAATCTGATCCTGGACGACACAGACCTAGGCAGGGGCAGCAAAGTCAGAATGTGCTGGGGCAGGGAGCACACTGACCACCTGGGAGACCCTATTTCACAAGCCACAGCCATCCATCCCAGAACCCAGGCACAGACTCCTCCCCCAGTCTGGTCAATCCTCTCTTGACCGTCCCCTCCCTGACAGTCTTCCAGGGACCATCCCCACCCGCTGTTCTCTGGCATGGATGCCTCCAGCTCCCACAGAGGACTAAGGTCACGGCACTCATCTCTCTCTGTGCCAGGGTCCTGAACTGCTGCCTCTGTCCACGTTGCCTTCACAGAACAGTGCCCCACCAATATCATGGATGCCAGGTATCAACTTAAAATTAAATTGACGAAGCCATAGAGCTGCTCCCAAAGAAAACTGACAACAAATACCTAATATTCCGTCCTACGTGGGAGGCATCTCTTTTGGAGTTGAGGATGGGGGGCGCCAGCTGTTGATGAGAGCAGACTGAGGGGTGCAGGGTGAGGGGGACCCGACCCCGTGTCCTGTGCTGGGGTCCTGGTCTCAAAAGAGCATCACCATCTTTAGGGGCCACGTCCACCTGGAAAGGAAGAGCACAGGGTGACGCTACATGGCAGGGCCTCCTGTCCCCCACACCTGCTAAGACCCCAAGATGGTGAGGAGGTGGACACACTCACTGATGTGAGTTTGGAGCCCCAAAGGCCCACATCCCACTGTCTTCTAGGGCAGAACGCTTTTGGTAAATCAAGTCACAAGCGCGAATCTGAAGAGCTTGACAGCCATGAGCTATCTTGGCTTCACTAGTGCCCGTGGCACCCAGCCGGACTCAAACTCAATTTGTCCTGTAGCCGTCACCGCTCCGTACGCACGGAAAGCAGAGCATAGGCTTTGCCAGAAGCCAGAAATAAAGAACGGAACCCTTTACAAACAGGTGAATTCGCCTTTTGAGTCCTAGTTCGCCCTCCTGCTCACACATTTGCACACCTCTACCCCACATTGATTTAAAATGCTCTGCACAAGCCTCTGCCTGTGTGTGCCCCCGCATCACCATCCCTGCCCCAGCAGCTTTCTTCCCCTTGCCCTGTTTGGATCCTGGCATTTCTCATGCCTGAGTCACTTCCTTGGGCCACTTCCACGCTTTGCGGTGGTGGCTGTGGCCATTAGAGGCTGACTCAGCCTCAGCCCCTACACCCTGCCTCTGACAGAGCCAGAAGGAGGCACAGTGGGGAGGCCGTTGGGTTCCAGGTTCCCCAACATCAATCCCAGTCCCAGCCCAGAATAGGGCCTTTCTGGTCCCCAGGTGGGAGCTGTGAAATTCCTGCAGGGAGGGAACCCCAGAGAGGAGAGGGGGGTGGGGAACAGAAGGGGATTGTGAGGATGGAAAAGGGGCGGCCCACGGCGGCCCAGATATCGAGTCCCATCAGCCTCTGCCCACTCTGCTTTTCCTTGTTTCTCTGCAGAAACTGGAGGATGGCAGGCTCAAGTCCAGTCTGGGCAGCTTAACTATTCAGTGAGATCCATCTCAAAATAAAAATAAAAAGGGCGGAGCCCAAGTTCAGTGCAAAGTTTAGAGTAAAATTCAAAATTATAGCTTTAGGAACTACCAGTACCAATTAGAAGTCCCAGCATCAGTCCCCTGTGCTATGTTTCAGACTTAAATTTTCATGTAGAAGGACGAGAGGGAAAGGACAAACACACCCATTCACAGGCCCCCACCTCGCGCTCCCCTCTTCCTAGCTTAGACACAGCGATGCCCACACCATGTGTGAACAAGCGGGGTGGCCCCCAAGTCGCTGAAGCCCAGCCTCCAGGACAGCTGGCTGTGGCCCATCACCCACCCCCAGCAGTGCTGTCCCCCACTGCAGAGCTCCCTGAGTTTACTATGGCAACACATGACAAAGCTAGCAGCATGAAGAGGCCCAGGAGACAGGGACTCCACGGTGCTCCGGTGGTTGGGACCCACCAGGGGGCCTCTGTGCATGTGTCACAGCGTGACGGCGGCATCACAGGGCACCACCACCCACAAACACCAAGGCGCATGTAAGGGGTCAGGCATCACCCCTCTGGTGTGGCTTACATATGGTGTAAACTCATCTGATCACCATGGTGGCAGTGCTGGGGGACAGTGGCTTTCGGGGTGTTCAAGATGGATGCTACTCTGATGAGACTGGGTCAGTTCTGAGACAGTGACCATGCCTGTGGACCTGGATTGGCAGCCAGGGCCATGGGCCTGCCCTGAACACCCTCGCCTGCCTTCCACTCACCTGTCTGCTATAGGGCATTGCAGACTCTCGCTGGAAGCCTGCACCTGGTCCTCCACTCCCAGCCTCCAGAACTGAGAGCTGGAAAACTCCTATTGCTTATAAATTACCCATTCTGGGGTAGTCTGGGACAGCCCCGAAAACAGACTAAGACACTACAGGATCAGAATGAGAAACATAAATGAGAACTAAGTTACACACGGGAAATAAAGCAAAAGAATCAACTATGATCAGGGGGGCCCAGAAATCCCCGCTTTCCCAAAGGCTGACTTCATCTAACAGGGACCCTGGCCCTGAGCAGGCGCCAGCTACTGGGTAGGGACCTCCAACACATGGACACATAAAAATAAATTTTAAAAAAGCGTAAAAAGAAATAAAATGGAATACAGGAAAATAATCTTAAAAACGTTTAGTGTCCAAAGAAAGGAAATGATTCACGGTGCTACTAACCAGCCTCAGCACACAGACCAAGGATGTCAGCTCGAAAGATGAGGTAAAAAGAAACTCGCAAAGCCATTGCTTGTAGAAACTGAGAAGCCTGCACTTTCACAAGGCCTCACTTCTTAAACTGGAACCCAAACATTCCCAAGGGGAACGTGTACCTGAAGGAAACCCAGAGCCCATCCTCGGGGGCACCAACTGTGCACAGGGAGTTCTAAAAGGGCATCATCTTTATGTCAGAACACACACGGCTAGACTGTAGAGGGGGAAGACAATATCTGTCTAGGATAAAAAGGAGACATCGAAGAACTATCCTGAGAGGGGAGCTACAGAGACACCAGGCTGGGTCCCCCTCTTCATTTCTCAAGAGGCGGAGGTGCTAAAATCCAAGCAAGTCCACACTCAGTGAATGCCCAGGGTCATCACTGTACGATCCCAGTCAGAAGAACAGAAAGCACTGGGACTTCACAAACTCACACCCAAAAGGCAAGACACACAGGACAGCCTAACCCTGACCACCACGGTATCTGTCCAGGGCACCCCTCCAGGCTGCTCAGACTCCAGGTGGACAAGCAGAAGGTGGAAATCACCACAGAAGAATCCAGTCACCACCATGATGCTCTGCATATGATGAAGCCCATTCCGCAGACACCAGTGACATGGTGACACTGGCATTCTAAGAAGCCAACTCCATGTTCAGTGTGGCAGCCACCGAGAAAGAGCTTCATAAAGCCATCCACAAGCAAAAGTCACCTCCAAAAAAGGACCAAAAGAAACCACTGGCTATGCCAGAAAACACAAGAACACCAGGGCTGACCCCTTTCCCATCCATAGACAATTCTACTGCATGTCGGACCAATTGGGTTTATCTGCCCTCGCATCCGGGTCAAGATACTTTTTATGATCGGTGATACATGAAGATACGCAGAGATGATAAGCGTCCACAGAGAGGTTTCAGGTATCCTCTGCAGTGTAAACACTCAGCTATCACAAGCCGCAAAGCCATAAGATCAGAGATATTAACTGAGGGACATGAGTTTCAAGGGCAAGGCTGGAAATCAGCGGTGACACACAGTGGAGAGATGCCACCAGCAGGACAGGCAGAGGCTGCAGGCAGCCTAGAGGACCCAGATCCTCAGGCTGGGACCCACAGGGAGGGATGGGAGGCCTGAGCACTCTACACCGTGCTCCCCATTATAAGATTTGCCCCTCCCCCCCACCTGTGCAGTCAGAAACTTCTATGAATGGCTGCCAGGGTTTAGTACGTGCCAAGAAATGTATCACAGTGAAAGACGCGGCGCCGAGAATCCCCCTCATATTCCTCCTCTCCTTCGCTTCAGACACACTCACCCCATCCTTCACCATACTCTGAAACTGTAAGTCCTCTTCCTCGAGGGTCCTCAGCTTGGTTGCTATGGCAGCCATGGTGTCCTCCATGGACTCAAAGCACTTAACCTTCCGTGGCCCTTCAGACTTGGGGAGGGGCCAGGCTTGGTGGACAAGGTGGATGAGGACACGCCTTAATTTTTAATAAACAGTAATCACCATAAACATTTTGAATTCATTCAGGCCACCGAAGCAGCCCTGGAAAGACCTTCAAGAAGCAAGCCTTCCAAAAGTACTTCAGGAAGCAGCTGGAACGAAGAGCCACATGCACGCACAGCACACAGTGAGGATTCAGAGGGGTCTCAGGGTAATGCGTCTTTCGTTGTGATAATTTTTTAATTTGAACATTAACTGTAGATTCTGGTCACATCTCCTAAACTGGGACCACTGTGTACCCCAGGAATACTCTAGCAGAATACAGGCCATTTCAGTCACCAGTGGAGTCCTGTCTTGGTTACTTTTCTCTCATTGCTGAGACAAAAGATCTGATACCCAGAATTAGGGAAGGAAAGGTTTATTTAGCTTCCAGGTTTTAGAGATTTCAGTCTATAATCAGCTGGCTGCAAGGCAGGGTGGCGTGGCACTGGGGCAACACTTCAAGGCAGCAGCCAGAACAAAAGTGGGGAACAAGCCTCTTCCCCCTCATATTGTACACAGCCCGCCCCCAGCCTGGTGTAGCACTCAGGAAATCTCCTTGCCCTCCTCTTACAGAGGATGAGGATGTTTACAAAGTAAGGACCCTGGCTCCCTACTGAGTCTCTCAGTTAAACTACTAACTTCTCAGGTTGGCACAATGTACCAATCATAATGGTTCCCTCCTGCCCTGTAGGGTCACCCCATTGCCAGGATCCACTGCTCTGATTCCTATGGCCACCTCTACTATGGATCCCCTAACCGTAAGAGCACCAGGCAGCTGGATTCTACCCTACCTGCCAGGGCCCTGATGTATGTCCACCACATCTGCATGAGCCCACACCTTCCACTGCCCACGCCTGGGTCACATCGGAAAGCAGGCTGTCCTCAACAGGTGACATGGCCCCTAACGGGACATTTCAGGCACTTGGGTCACATCTGGTGAGTGATGGAGGCCATGGCTGTGAGTCATCTGGAGCAACACCCAGCAGTACCACGCACGCTGGCCCCGGGGTCCTACATGACACCCTGATGTTTTCACGGATGTCTCATCCATGCCAATGGGAAAACAAGTTTATAGGGTTTGGACCCCAGCCCGCAACTCCCCTGAGCTTTTATATATGAGGCCTGTGGCTGCCACAATTTCCATACTCTGAATTTTTTAATAATGCAGCCACTATCATACCTGTGATAACGCTGCCCTGTGACCGCCACTTGGGCTTGTGGTCAGTCTATGGGAAGCACGAGGTGACCCTGTAAGGTTCTAGTCTACCTCTACCCAAGCACCCCCAGCCCTGGATTCATTGCCTTAACATAGAACGTCCCTGTCTCTGCTCTCCATCTAGATATCACGCTGAGCTTTAAAACTTACACTGAAAGTTTAATGTATCACTTCATTAATACAAACAAGGAGTTTTAAAATAATTGCATAAGGAGGAAGGAGAGGGGTTTCAACAGGGGTAGAAGGTGGCGACATCCTGCTTGCTCCTACCCCTTGGTCAAGAGTCCCTTCCATGCTACCCACGTCCCTACCTCCTCGGGTGAGGGAAGCCAGGCCTGTAGAGAGCAGACCACCAGACTCCCGTCTGCACCACTGAGCTGGGCTTGTGGAACCATGTCTTGGTGCTGGCTCCTCCCGGAGACAGTCTAAACCCCATTTTTCTGTCTCTTTAATGAAGACCTTTGGAGAAAGTGGCCACTTGATTTTGTACCAGAATGCTTTTATCTCTCTGGAGCATTGCACTTTCATCCTGAAGACAGTGACAGCTCAGACATCCCAGGACCTGGCTCCTGCTGCTTGCACGAAAGCTACTTGCAATGTCTACCTTATCTGCAAGCTAGAACCACCTTTAAAGACTTCGGCACCCGGCCACCGGCCAGCGCTGGCTGGTCTGCTCAGAGTGCTTCCGCTGTGCAGCGCTGGGACAGTGACCTTCCCCAGCCTTTGTGGCGGCCCGGGCCACTTGACCGGAGGCTAAGTCATGGAGCGTTTCGCAGTCCGCCTTTCCAGCCCCGATTCTGCTCCCTGGCCACCTCTCATTGTCCTTCCACGTTTTCCTTAAAGGCACCTTATAAATCCTGTCCCAAACAGGCACGAAGGCAAAGGGAGCCCACCGCTCTGCGGTGCACAGCAGTGGACGCATATCAAGGGAGACAGCGCAGAGTCCCAGGCGTGCAGGTGACCAGGGGCGCTGGTCTTCCAATCCTGGTGAGCTCCTTGAGCTCTGGGCCGCTTTGCACAGAAGGATTAGGCGTGGCCAGAGACTGTATTTCCTGGGGCCATGGCAGGCGATCAGAGGACAAAGCTGCTGGCGCTGCAGATCCTCAGCCTGTGCCACCGCCTGCTAACTACCCGGAAGGGAGGGAGCTCAAGGCTGGCGGCGAGGGGTGGCATACAGGCGCCTGACAACCTCCAACCTTTGAAGAGGCAATGGTCCAGCTCAGACTAAGGAAATACTGCCTTCAAGCAGCTCTACTTGCAAACGGACAGACACTGCCTCCCGCCCGCGGATGCAGCCACCACGGGCTTCTTTCTTACCTGCGCAGCACCGGCACAGCGCATGTCCAGGAGAGCACGGGATTTACGCTCGCTCTACTCCCTCCTCCATCCCGCACCTGCTGCAGTGCCTGGCAGGCAGCAGACACTCAAGACGCATTTGATGAGTGAACAAGTCAATCTAATATCAAACAGGGTCTGGCCCATCGCCAACAATTTACTCGAAAGATGTCGCTCGTCTCAGGATAGTAAAGAACGTCTCAGGGGCACCTTACACCACTCGGGGCGTGCAGGGCCTGTTAGAAACCGGAAGTGCACGCCTGCTCCGTCAAGGTCATAGGAGAACTCACTTGAAAGTCCTTCTTTTTTCTTTTTTCTGTTTCTTCGACACGGTCTCAGTGATTGGCCTTAAACTCCCGGTGATCCTCCTGCTTCAGCCTCCCAAACGCACCACCACACCATGGCGAACGTCCTCCCTTGCATGCTTGGGGAGCATCAGTGGGTGAGCCACAGGTATCCTCTCCTGTGCCTGCCCCAGGAGGCTGGAAACAGCAGGGTCACGTGTCCCTGCCCCAAGGAATCCAGTGCCAAGGTGCGCAGCAGTCCATGGAGAATAGAACGCAGTGCGCTCAGAGAAACACAGCGGCAGCTAACCAATCAGAACGGTGGAGAAGAAAGACCCCGCCAGCCGCTCAGTGAACTAGCTGGGGACAGGGAGCAAACGTCCCCAGCGCCACCGGGCGGGGGCTTCGCTTAGCTGCTAATCACAGAGTTCCCCGTGCTCCTGATCACACATTCACCGTGCAGAAGTCCAGCCCTAAGCCAGGGGACCCAGACCTCACCCCGCTCCTCCGTGGACCTCGGCTCGGGTTTCTCCTCCCAGTGGCGGCCGCGCGCACCGCACTCCTGGCTCCAGGACGCATCCTTCCTATGAGCACGCCCCGCCCCCGCCCGGGAACACTCAGGGTTAGCATTGAGGAGCTGCGGGGCGGGGGCGGGGCGGTGCACCTCCTTCCTTTCAGAGGTGCAGGACTCCTAGGCAGTGTCACCAGAGCCCCAAGGTCTCCATCTCTCCTTCCTTCCAGGTCCCGGTCTTCCAAGCAGTCAAGCACTGAGTTTCTGCTTCCTTGCTGCAAATCAGAGCAATCCCTGATATTTCTCCCCCAGGGCTGGGAAGCTGAAGCCCAGTGCGCATAAAAGACCGCTCCTGCGTGTCTGACCGAGGCGTGTCCCCGCAGTCCGCCTGTCCGCAGCCCATCTGAAGCGACTGCATGCGCCCTCCTCCGCGCCAGGGATAGGCCCTCGCCTTGGGAAGGAGACTCCCTCGTCTTTTCCTATTTAGTTTTTATCCTAGGAGCGCGTGTCACAGTGCACAACGTTCGCACTGCTCGCTGGGAGGTGGCGCGTGGACACCGCGCGGCCTCACCTTCTACTACCCCTGCCCCGCCTCTCTCTCCTCTGCCAAAGAGCCGCCTCCCGACTTCTCTGCCTTTTACTGTGCCCTTCACGATTCTTATGAGCCTAAAGCCGAAGGGGCAGCATTGATCCAGCAGAACTTGGACCTACACAGGGAGGCACAGGCCTGTCCGAAAGGTACCTCTGGAACCCAGAACCGGGGGCAAGGTGCCTGCTACATGGGACACAAAGACAGACAGGGACAGGGACTGCGACAGGGACGGCAGCACTGAGACTGGGCCAGCGTCACCGCGCACCATAAACCCTGCCAATCACGGTCATCGGGAAGGAGCCCCCACTCCCGCCTTCCCCGTGTCCGCCCCTTCCGCGCCCCTCCAACCTTCTACCTGGGCGGCCCCGTGGGGGGCGCGATTGCTGCCCGGGTGGCCCCGGCCCTGCGGGTCACATCCCTCCGGGGCGCGGACGGCGGCGCCCCCTCTGCGGCCGGCCGCGCTGCCTCCTGCACCAAGTAAACTCGCTAGGACGGCGGGGCGTGGCCGGCGGGGAGGGCGTGGCCCTGCGGGAAGGGGCGTGGGGTGTGGCGTGGCTTGAAGGGGGCGGAGTCCCAGCGGTGGAGGTGGGCTTGGCTCCGCCCACTCCCCCTACGGGCTTGGCGAGCTGACAGGAGTTCGGGTTCTGCACCTAAAACTCCTGTTTCCTCTCCTAGAAGAGGCCTAGCAGTCCCGCGTCGGGAGCGGCTGGGCGGTGACAGGCGCGCGCAGACAGGACAGCGCGAGCTGGCCGTGACGGGGTTACAGCCCTGAGCTTCACTGTGAGCGTGAGTGTGCACCCCATGTAAAAACCATTTACAAGTCCTGGCTGCCTGACGCCAGGCTCAGTACTCTTCTAAATTTAATACCCAAGTACCCTGTAATTCCAGGTACTCTGGAGGTGGAGGCAGGAGGAATGCAGGTTCGAGCCCCGCCTTGGCAGTTTAGGAGACACTCTAAATAAAAAAGGAAAAGGCTGGGGTGTAGCTCGGTGGAAGGAGTGCCCCAAGTCTATCTGCGGCGCCAAACAAGTACAAACAAGCAAACGAAAATCCCACTCGCCCCAAGACTCTATTTGCACATTAAGAAATCACAGCCAGAAAAATGGAAAATCCCAAGGGCCTTCTGGAAAATGGCCTGCCCCAGGGAGGGCTAAGGGATGCCCTGACCCCAGCAGCAGCCCGGAAGTCTGCAGCCTGAGACATCCCTTCCCCTCCCAATTGTGCCCAGGTTTCCAGGACCTAATGGGCCACCTCCCCGGGGATGTCCTCTGGGCGTGCACCACCCTTCCCATGGCCACAGGCTGCTCCTGTGGGCACCAGCCACTCTAGCTCACCCCTCAGGAACTCGAAACGGGACTGACCATGGCAGCTCCAGGACGGAGGAAACAGGGAAGGACTGAGCTCCTACAAGCGGGCATAGAAGCTCTAGTGAGTCCTGAAGCAGTGACACACTGTTCTGCCTGGGTCCAGAGGCTTACAGGGCTCCCCCGGCTCAGGGCAGCAGGCTGACACCAGGCAGTGGTCTGGAGCTGTGCAAATTTGTTAGCTGTCCCAACTCAGAGCCCATGGGGTCAGTCACGACTGCAACTCCGGGAGACACCCAAGATTTTCAAGTTTCCAGCTGCGTCCCTTGGGCAGCCAGGAGGGTAAACAACCATCCCTTTCATCTCCTACACTGACGCTGGGACACTGTGTGTGTACCACCAGACAGCCACTTCAACCCCTAACAGGTAAGTGAATAGAGACTTCTCTTGTCATTTATGTACTGGAAGTTGTTAAGCAGTTGACAAGCAAAAAGTGAAATTGCTGTACGCAGTTATGAAGAGATTAAAATTAACTTTATTTATTTATTGGTAAAAATAGGGTCTTATGTTATCCAAGCTGGCCTCGAAATCCAGGGCTCCAGTGATCCTCCTGCTTCAGTCTCCCACAAAGTAGGGGTATAGGCAGATGCTATAGCTTGGCTTTTCTTTTGCTAAAGCACTAACCCTCTCCCCTAATCTCACCCCCAAGTGTCCTGCTAGACACCATTCACTGCCATCAGATGGGCTCTCAAATATCCACCCAGCCGTATGATTTGAAGATCTCCCCCTCCATAACAGGTAATATTCACTGTCAACTTAATTGTCTTGGAAGCCAACTGGAGATTAAAGTGCACCCCAGATGTAGCTGTGTGGCACATGGAGGTGTGACCTTGGAGAAGATGTCTGATCCTGGCAGTGTTCCCCTGCTGTGCTTCCTGACCTCCATGTGATAGGGCTGAAGTGACCACTCTGTTTTTAGGTCCCATTTTAGTTTTTGCTGACCTTTACATGAATTGCCTTTCTGAAACCTGTACCAGATAATCATAAATTCTGCAAAGAGAGAAACTTCAAACAACAGGCACATTGACCCTTGCCTGCATCCTGGTTGACTGAGGGCCCCAATGTTCAGTGTCCAGGAAGGTCCTATAAGACTCCTGTGAGATTTCAAGTAAGATGATAGGGTTACCATGGTAACTGGGGAGTTATAAAACTTTGGGGAACAAAGACCCAGCGTGGATGTGTGTCATGGTGGAGTGTGTCATGGTGTGTCATGGCTGAACCCATCATCCAGCTGGCTGAATAAAGCTTGCTTGCTCTGTACTTGACCTCTGTGTGCGTCTCACCATTTGCCACATCACATGGACTGAGCAGCTCTCCTCCACAGAGCCCTTCTGCTGTGATGCTTCTCCTGGGAGCCAGCTGGCCACGGAGTGAACCCACTGAAACCATGAGCCAAATTAAACTTTTCTCCCTCTAAACTGTGGATGTCAGTCTTTGGTGCCAGTGGTAGAGAGGCTGACTGACACTCTTACTCACTCGTACTAATCAAATAACCTTCACGGACTTACCTGGAACCCTGAAGTCACCTCCTCCCTCATTTCACCATGCTGGGCACTTTCCCTAACTCTGTTCTGTGCTCTATCTCCTTTGCTCAGATAACTTGTGAGTGCACTCCCCACACTGACCTCTGGGCTGGAGACTCTGTGAGCTGGCAACTGTCACCCCTAAAGGAGCCCCTGCTGCAGCTTGCACACAGACACACCGGACTCATTCTCCTATTTCAGCGTAAGGTAACACGGCACCACTGTTGCCCACTGAAGATATGACCCCGACTTATGTCTTGAACAAAAACTCCAAAAACAGCAGGAGCGCCTTTAGGCACTAGACACCTTCTGGAGAATCCCCTGTGTCACAGCACTGCCTTCTGCTGCTTAGAATGCAGGAGACGACTGTCTGCACCTGCCCCAGGCTCAGTTCCTGAGACCCTCTGTGCAGGGAGAATTCTCTAACAATGCACATGACACAAAATCACCCTGACTGCGGACCACGGCCCATGTTTTAAGCACTCCCCACAGGTCACAAGGTTGGAGAATAATCTGAAGGATTGTTCATCACACACACAAACACTAGGCTTGAGGGCTTGGAAGGAAAAGCATTTCTGTGGTTTATTTCCTGGTACCCCAAAACCAGTGCTGGAAACTTACACTCATACCCTAAACCACGGAGTGGGGAAGAACATGTGGACATGCAGAGCTGTTTTTTCTACTCAGCCTCAGGGCAGCAGAGTTGACCAGAAGGTGTGAAGGAGAAGAACAGAGGGAGGTGGCTGGTGTTCATCAGACTCTGGAAAGTCTCTGAGAGGGGCCCAGCACCCTTACTCTCCACCACTGTCAAACAAGACAAACCCTGCCTTCCTCCCAGGGGAAGAGGTCTGTAAGGAATTCTGGAGGAGAGAAACAGCACACAGCATCTCTGCGTGTCCAGCGTGGCTTGAAGTGAGCGTCAGCCCTGCAGCATTCCTGCCTGGGCCTCACAAAGACCAGCACTTCTCAGCTGGTCAGCTAAGCAGCCAAGACCCTGTCAGAGCCCTCACGATGGAACCCTGGAAGGCCACGTGTGACCTGTGGGCCAGCGCAGACCCATGAACCTCCAGAGACAGTGGTGGCCTTGATCACCTGTCTCCTTCTTCACCTCACCTGCCCCAAAGGCATCCACCCAGAACAAAAAGAGGGAGAGAACTCTGAATGAAACTGTCTTGAGCCAGTGAAAACAAAACCGCCTCTGACTCCAGGATTTGTTCTTCATATGCAAACAGGAATTCACACGCAAAGGCCAATTCAGTCGTAGAGAAATAGAGTATTACATTTTTGCACACAGGGCCTCTGTGGTTCTGAATTTTCTATACCTATTGATGTTATTTTTGGAGCTTCCAGTAATCTCTCACGGAACCACAGCATAGATTTGAAACCGCTGTCCCAGATGGACTTCCTCCTGCAGCCCGGCTTTTCTGTTTCCCCTGCACATTTTCCATCCATTGATCTCCAAACAACCTCTCTCTTACCTGTGTCTTTCACGAGTCTCCCTCCCTGCAACCGCTAGATTTTGATCAGCTCAACCTTGACTCTGAACAGTCATTCGTGGGTTTCTATGATCAGCATTCTGTTCTGATTTCTCTGATTCTGTAGGTCCTTTACCAAGCAGAAAGCCACAAGTGAACTAGGGATTAGCCCTGATCAGAAAGTAACTCACATCATGAGACTAACAAGGCAGTGAACCACTTCTTAAGCACCTTTGTAAGAGGAAGAAAAAAGATGGACAGACCATCTTTTTGGGTTTTTTGTCTGTTTGTTTGTTCTACTGCAGTTTTAACCTTGCTCAGTGAGGACAAATGACCAAGAGAGGCCTTGTTAGCATCACAAGTTAATACAGAAACCGCGTGGCGGGTTCCATCCCGAGGCAGACAGACTTGGTAACTTCCCAGCCCTGCTACCCCTAACAGAACCGGATGAGTGGCCTCTCGCTCACACAGACACAGTCTGACTTCTGTTGGCTGATGGCTTTAACATAAAAAGCTTAAAGCACCAGTAACCAAACTGTCACCAGCCAACAGGCAGCCCATCCAGGAAGCGCCAGAGGGATGTGTGTGCTCAGCCATGTGGCAGATGTGTGACAAAGCACACCCCTCTGTGCACTCTCTAGATTCTAGATGGTTCTAGATGTTTCCACCATCTTGGCTTCCCTGCTCCTTTCTGTAACTGGTCTCTACATTTTGTCTTCCACAAGCACCTTCCCAAATCTAGACTTTCGTGTTGGAGTCTTTCAACTTTGTGATTTCTTGCCAGTTTCTTCTCTCTAGGTGGTTTCCCTATTCTAGAGAAGGACGGTCCCTTTGTAATTTAGAGCAGCCATATTGAATGTCTTCTCATCCAATGTATGACTGAGGTGTAATTTCCTCCTGCCTTGAATCTAGGCTGATCTCTGTTTAATCAATAAAAGAAAGTGGTACTGGCTTTCTGGGACTGGTGACTACAATTGTAAAACTTTCTGGGTTCTTTCTGGTCTTCTTGGAACAGTCACCCCTGATACCCAAAGCTGCCAGGTAAGAAGTATCACTGTCCTCAATGGAAAGCCCAAGTTATGTAGAACCCACACGTAGGTGGTCCCATTCCCATTCTCAGCCGTCAGCCAGAATCACCTCCAGCCATGGAAGTGCACCATCTTGGATATCAGACGCACTAGCTCCCCTCAGCAGCTTTCTGACTACACCCATATGAGAAGCTCTAAATGAAAAGCTCTGCCCATCTGAGCCCCCATCAACCCACAAAGTCATAAACAACACTCTTGTTTTAAGTTACAGTTTCATAGTCAATCAGAGCACAATAGTTGAGAGAAACATGACCGTACTCAGGAATGTGACATGGCTCCCCACGGCTCATGCTGTGCCACACGAAGTCGACCTAGCAAGCCTCAGAGTGGAACCCTCACCCACCATCTGACTGCTGTCCAATTACAGAGGTGTTCCTTTAGATTGGTATCATGATGATCTCGAGAGCAAAGAAAAGAAAAGTGAGAGCTGGGACCTGGCCAGGTAGATGGCTATTTTGAGTAAAAGAAGTAGCTCTAACTACATACTTTAAAAAATGCCGGCGACCTGGATGATGAAGTTTCTAATGACATTTACTAAGAAATAGTCCGACCCATGAGAAGGAGGTCTCCACTCTCAAAGGCTCTTGGAAAAGTACTGAGCAAACCAGTACTTCCACCAAAAGAAGCACAAGAAAACTCCTGTCACTCAGGTATGCCATGCTTGTTGGGCCACTTCCCAAATGCCCAAAGATGGTATTCATTCCCACCTGTTCCTCTTGACTTTCTTCACAATAGGTCTCCTGGCCATGACACAGCAGCTGGGAACCGCTGTCCGGCAATATTTACTATGACCCTTGACCTCCTGCTGGACGGGGAGCCGGGCTAGTTCTGAGCCTTGGCCCCAGCGTTGGGAGAAGGAGCTGTGGTCTCCCTGATTCTTTGCTTTGTGCTCAGGGACCCTTAGCCCTGCCAATGAGTTCAATTCATCATCTAGAACTAAGCCGGCACTGTCCTTGGAGGAGGTCAAGGACCCTGAGTGCCAGGCTCCCCAGAGTTTCCATCGCCTCTGCTCCTTGGTAATGACACTGACACTCGGGATGCAGATGGGACCAGGCTTTGGGCAGCACAAAGGGCATCCTGAGTGTGATCCCAACATGGGCTCTCAGGAAGTAGCTGCCAAGATTCCCTTTTGTGTTCCTCAGGCCACTGAATCGCTGTGACATGTTCCAGATATTGCTGCTCAGAGTCCGAAAAACTCAGAGCCTCTGGAGCAAAGGTCTTTCTCAAGAAAGCTGGGCTTCCTCCAGAAAGGACACTGTATTTGTCAGAAGTCTATAGCTGAACAAGCATCTTCCCCGCCCCTTCCCCTTTCCTTGCAATCACATTCAGTTTGCATTTCACTACTCGGCCCAATCCTGCCTGCTCCACTGCCTCTAGATCTGTATTTTATTGTAGTCACTTCACATCCCTTCGTAGAATTCTTTGTAAGCACATAACCTCACATCGATGTTTTAATTTTGCTATTAAACATAAAGGCAAGATCTTTGGAGATAGGAACCTATATATTTTAGGAGAATGGGGAATCTCTCTTCTCTAGTCTAAAACAAAGATTTGACTCAGTAAAAATCTGGAATGGGAGACCTGGCTGCAGAGGGGATGGAACGGGTTTCTCATCTCCTCCTCTCCAACATCCTCCGCACCCACAGCAATTTCCAGGAGGGCACGTTTTTGTCATTCCTTTTGTTTATTCTCTATGACAAACACATTAATAGTGCTTTCTCTGTCAGTGTGCCCTATCCTGTCTTCACTGTGTGCTTGGCAATTTTTTTTCTGAACTGAGGCAGGAAAATCATGATGCAGAGAATCTCTGAAGTAAAAGGTAGTCCTGGAAAAAAAGTGTAGGTGCCCCAGAATCCAGGGTTCCCCAATCATATGGGGAACCTGCCCCGGCCCAAAAGAGCTTGGATGCTAGAATTAGCGCCTGGCTCCCAAACAGCAGTGTTTTCTTCCTGTGCTGGCTCAGGACGAGGAGAGGACTTGTTAAGAAAGTGACCAGAAGGGAAGAGAGCTCCTGTTGTGCTTTCTCCAGGGTTTGGGCCGGGCTACAGGTGCCGGGACCTTGCAGGACCTTGATTATGTGTGGCCTGGAACGGACTCCACACAGGGAGCGCTGTGGGGAGGGGTGGACAGAGGACAGAGGACACCCATGAGGACACACTGTGGGCTTGGGACTAAGCAGTGTCTGCCACCACTACCACCTTATAGACCGTGTACATCTTTGCTGTGATTTAGCACTGAGTTCGAGGTGTTACTGATATATTGCAAAGGTTTTCATTTTTTATTTTGGTTTCTGAATGTTCACTGTTAGCACAGTAGAAGGAGGTACGCTGCCTTTTGAATATTGACCTCATGACCTCACTTATTAGTTCTGTTAACTTTTATATGAATTCCATAGGATTTTAGACACAGAACACAAAGACAGCTTCCTTTCTGATTATGTGTGGCCTGTATCTCTTTTACTTGACTATTTTTTACCAGCTCACTGGTACAATACTGAGTAGAAATAAGACAATGGACCTTCCTGCACTGGCCCTGCCTTTAGAGAGCCTGGTACCTGTGGGTTGATGTTAGCTGCCGGTTTTCCTCAGGTGCTCACTAGCAGCCTGAGAAAATTTCTTCCTGGTCCAAACTTGCTGATAGGTTCATTGAGAATCGATGTTAAATTTTTTCTTTCTTTCTTTCTTTCTTTCTTTCTTTTTTTTTTTTGGTACTGAGGATTGAACTCCCAACTTTTGTGATTGCCAGGCAGGCACTTACACTGCTGAGCTAAATCCTCAGCCTTTGATGCTGAATTTTGGCAAACATTTTTTCTGCATCTATGGAGATGTTTATGTGAGTTTTAGTTTTATTAATATGGTGATTTACCTGTATCGATTTTCTAAAGCTAAGCCAAATTTACACTGTGGAAATAAAGCCAACCTAGTTACAATGTAGTTGCCTTTTTATATATCGTTGGATTTTTTTTAATCTGCAAGTATTCTATTTAGAATTCTTATGTCTGGGTTCATGAGGAATACTGGTCTGGACTTTTCTTGTTACACTGTGTTTCCCTGAAAGTCAGACCCAACTAGAGATCAAAAATTCGAGCCCCACTCAGCCTAGTCCTGCCTTACCTGCTCTTATGGAATAGCCATGGAGCAAGAGGAGAGAGAACTACAGTCTTCTGCAGGATACGGTCCATCACCATGGAAATGACCAGCTATTCCTCACACCTAAAGTTTACTTTCCAGTTACTTTTGGGAAAACGTGATATCTCAGTTCACTTTGATAGCTTGCTGATCATAGCCTCCTACAACTGGGGGAGATATCAGGAGTTGAGGAGGGTTTATTTCTTTTCAGTTTTCTGAAAGGGTTGGGGTAGAACTAATTCTGGATCTTCCTTTAGTACTTAGTGGAATGCACCTGGAGGTTATTTGGATGTGGAGTTTTCTTTTTGGAAAAGTTAGACGTAAATATGTTTTTTCTATTTCTCTAATTACTTTTTGGTGCATACAGAAACACAACTGTTTGACTGTCCTGACATCTCATTAGTTCTTGGTTCTAATCAACTGCTTCTCCTCATTGCCTTCCCGCGCCCTTACTCATTGGCGATTTTCAGTTGGATAGCAAACCTTGTGAGCTGTAGCCCGTTGGATGGTGGCTGTTACTCTGCTCTGGATACATCTGCATTCTTGGAAACAGCTGGATTTGGTAAGGACTGGGGTACTGCATTTAATCTCCAGGGGTGCAAACAGCAGCATTCAGAACAGGGCAGCTCCCACTCCACTGCTGAAGCACCAAGTGCCCAGACTGGTGTGGCTCCCCAGTCTGGCCAGGGAACAAGGGTTACTCCTGGCCTGCTCCCCATTCCATCTGATTCTCACCCTGGTTCTTTCACTGACAGGGCAGCGGGAGGGATTTCTCCCTCGGGTGTGTACAGGTCGGTGCTCTGCTGAATTCCCAAGCAGGAGCCTCCGATGCGCCCTCCTTTCTTGTGAACGGCAGCTGCTTTTGCATCCCTCAGCTCTCACCTCTGTCTCATCAGTTCAGGAAGTCAGTGAGCTGCACACGGGTCACCTTCCCTGTGCTGAGGCCCGGACGCTCACATCGGGAACAGGAGTAGTCCAGGGCTCAGCCCCTTTTTTCTTGTCTCTCAGGGATCATGGTCCTTCATGACGGCTTCTCCACTTCTCCATTTCTCGTACCTTAGGAAGCCTGGATTTGTGCGATTGTCCAGCTACTTGGCTGTCTCTGGTGATAAAGGAAGTCTAGGCCCTATTACTTACTTTGGCAGGCAGCCGACTTCTGCTAAGAGCTTCTTATAGTAGCAAACATGCCTGGCATTCTTTACCCTGGTCACAAATATTTTCTTTGAATGTGGGTTGGAAACATTCTTCAAATCTTTGTAAAACAGCGTAATATAGAATTAACCATGTTAGCCAAAACCAAAGGCTTCTGGGGAGGGAAGCACACGGTGGAAGACTCCAGATAAGAGGAACCCACTGGCTGGCAGCTGTTGGATTAGAGGCAGAAGAACCAGTTTGGAGGCACCTGGGAACTCCCACAGAGACAAGATAAAGAAGACTGTGCAGGAGGAGGGCAGAGAGAAAGAGGGCAGGAAAAGGGAGAAGGGAAGATGTCTGCAGGCCCAAGAGCCCGGCCATCCCCAGGGTCTCCAAACCCAAAAGTCTGAAGGAAGTGTCTTGGAAGTGGTCACTGGCCGAACACCAAGGGGAGAAATTGAGGGAATTCTGAGAATATTCCAAAACTATTGCTGAGGTTTTAGTGCAGTTCCCAAGCCAAGATATGGAAACAACCTAGGTGCTTACTAACAGATGAAGACAATGGGATATTGGTGCACAATGGAATAATTATCCAGCTATTA